TTCAACGTTATGCGTCCCCCTATTTCTCGGCGGTAGCTATTAGCTGGGCATCGGGGGCATTTTACGAGTTTCTATTCCTTGTATAGCTGCAAACATTTTAAAATCATAAAACTTCAGGTTTTCAATATTTTGTTCCCCAACCGGATTCCGATTGGACTAATTGCCAAATAATGTGACAAGAATAATTATTATTCTAAAATTATTTTTACAAGCTTTTATTTAGTTTCACCTGTTCCGGTGTGTGTAATGGAATCTTGCAAGTTAAATTTGACCTATTCCCAGTGACCGATTGAGTATGTGATTGGTTTTGTATAGCCATTTTTACTCCAATATGGCGTAATATATAATGGCGATTTATCATTTCCATAGTAGGTAATTAGTAGCCCATATGTTATGGGCATCAAATGAAAGAGCGTGATGATCGAAACACAATAAGCAAACTGACGTCATTGTAAATCCAATATGGCGGACTCCCAAAAAATGGCGGACTATGTTTTTTTATGCATACCCATGATATAGATATCAAATGAAAGGTATCGTTGAGAGACTACGAATAACTAGAAAATAAAATAATTGTAAAAAACATTTTTTTTAAAACAAAGTTTTATTTAAATGCTCTAAGAAGAAAAAATAAACTTTAAATTAAATCAAACTCATCCATTTATTACATTACACAACTTATATAATATAAGAGCTTGTTACGAGATTTCCCTGTACCTACCTATAGATAAAGAAGAAATAAATGTAAAAAACATGTTTTTTTATAAAATAGGTCGGGTAGGTAATAGGAACCCCCCAACGTGCGTTCACCTTGTCGTGGTGGGGGGCTCAGTAGTGCCCGGCAATCCAACCGGGCGCGAAGCTAAGAATCGCACAGGGAGGTTGCCCACTTCGGTGGGCGGTGGGAGGTGGCCCTCTTCTGGGGGCGGTGTGCTATGCGGGTTGCTCCTGGTACTTCTCTGATAATAGAGTGGACGTTGGAGCAACCCCATGGTTGTGGTGGTCTGCTTCGGCAGACCTGCCGTCGGGGCGTCGTAGTTGAATGCGTAAGCGTTCCTGCGACGCCCCATTAAGACGGAGGAAGGTTTTGTTGGGTTTTAGTGGTTAGTACTGGCTGTATTACGCCGGTGAGTCCCAAACGTCGTGCGTAAATGCATTTCCCAACGTTAAAAAAAAACTGTGGGTAATAGGAATCTAATGATCGGTAAATCGGTAAGCCGTTTAGTATATACGAAGGAACAGAGAATCGGACATACATACAGACAGAGGGCCGGATTTAGGGGTGTGGAGGCCCTAGGGCAACAAAGAAGTGGAGGCCCCTAATTATTTTCCGAATAAAATGAACAATTTTTTTAGTCAAGTGTTTTAATTATTTATTGCGAAATTAAATTATTTAAATAAACATATGCAGATATAATCAAATACAAGAATTACTCGAATTCAAATTACATCGTTAACGAGCGAGCCTTTCGAACTTTTTCAACCGACTTCAAAAAGGAGGAGGTTCTCAATTCGACTGTATGTTATTTTTTTTTCTTTTTTTTTATGTTTGTTACCTCAGAACTCCGTCATTTATTAACCGATTTGGACAATTTTTGTTTTGTTTGAAAGGGTATACTTCCAGATTGGTCCCATTTAAATTTCAAAAAAAAATACCACCCCTAAGGGTGGAAAAACAACTAATGATGAATTTAACCTACTTCTAATTGTCATATTGACTTGAAACTTTGCAAGTATTTCTATTTCCGTTGATAGTACAGTGGTTTGGTGTTATTGACCTGATCAGATGGCAAGGTCAGAAGGTGGGTACTGGGTATAGGTGGAACTCTTCAACGGCTAATAGTAGATACTTTGAGTTTGGGCTTATTTTGTTTGATTTGACAAGCCTAACACGTTAGAATCCTTACTATGCTACTACTGTCTACACTAAAAAGGGAAAAATAAAAACTTTTTAACAAAAAAATAAAAACCGACTTCAAACAAAAGCACTAAAAAGTAAAAAATAACTGATTGGTAGTTTTCATTTACTATACATACCTAATCAAATATTTTCGAAGTCGGTGTGCTTTGGCTAAGTAATTAAAGCCTACCTATTAAATACATACCTAATGAAATATTTTCGAAATCGGTGCCAGCCCATACAGAGCAAAGCACACCGACTTCGAAAATATTTGATTAGGTATGTATAGTAAATGAAAACTATCAATCAGTTATTTTTTACTTTTTAGTGCTTTTGTTTGAAGTCGGTTTTTATTTTTTTGTTAAAAAGTTTTTATTCGACGAAAAATCGTTGATGACTTTGCTGAATATTAATGCTTTTTTATTATAAACTAGCTACTCATCCTCGCTTCGCTCGGATATGTCCCTAGGGTATGTATACAACCTACAATCTATTTGAATCGGATATTATTAAATTTTTCATTGGTTTTAATTTTTTTCCTGGGGACCCTATTTTTTTACTTTAAGTTACTCCTTATTACATCAGCTATCTGCCAGTAAAAGCCCCGTCAAAATCGGTTTAGCCACTTCAGAGATTAGCCGGAACAAACAGACAGACAGACAAAATTTGTAAAAAATGTTGTTTTGGTATATGTATCGTATATACATCCATATGCATTTAGTAACAAGCTGTTATTTTGACATTTCAAACAGACACTTCAATTTAATTTATCTGTATAGATTTGTTTCTGAGTAATGTTCCCATCGTATAAATATTGACAAATATTGACATTAATATTTATACGATACTAACGTCACTCAATTGTTTTGCCTTCCCGGAACCTCTCCACTAACACTTAAACTTTATGGTATGGTATTAAAGTTCAAATTGACTTTTAAGTATTATTACGAGTCTTTTGTATGGGAGTATAGAAAAGTGTTGCTTTTAGACTTTTTCAGGCATTTTTTTTAATTTTTCTCTCCGTAAGAACCATCCTCGTACTTCAAGGAATATTCAAAAAAAAGAATTAGCGAAATCGGTTCAGCTGCTCTCGAGATTTGCGCTTAGCAACACATTTAGCGATTCATTTTTATATTATAGAAGATAAGTCTTAAGTTAGCGGTTAAAATGACCATATAATTATAGACATAACGTACCTATGCATAAATAATCTATACAAATAAATAAAATTGAAGTGTCTGTTTGTAATGTCAAAATAACAGCTTTTTACTAAATGCATATGGAATTGTATACGGTATTTATAAGAAAAAACAATTTTTAAAAATTTTGTTTGTCTGTTTATTCCGGCTATTCTCCGGAACGGCTGGGCCAATTTTGACGAGACTCTCACTGGAAGATAGCTGATGATATAGGGAGTAACATAGTCTACTTTTATTTTAGAAAAAGAATTAGGGTTCCGCTCAAAAATATTAAAACGTACCTAGGGAAGAACCCAAGCGAAGCGAGGATGAGTCGCTAGTCAATAATATTTGTACAAGTATGGGTAAAAAGAGAAAAAAAAAATGAAAAAAATAAAAACGGAAAAATTGTCGTCCAGTCAGATTTTATTTTCTCAGGATCTCTTGTGGGAGCCCCCCTGTTGTAGAAGCCCCGGGCCCCGGCTGCCCTCTCTTAAATGCGGCCCTGCATACAGGTCAAACTTCAAACACAATAATCCTTTGGCCTTCGCGGCAGTCGGCCATACAGAGAGCCATAGAGAAAGACCTATCACCTATGTTAAAAGTTTTGAATATATTTAATGATGTTTTCAGATGAAACATGTCAGAACGTAAAGAATTTATTATTTACTTTTAACATAACTTTTCAAAATTAAATTTATTTAATAGCAAATTGAAAAACTTCAATTCTTTTGTTAATAGTTTCGAAATATGTTGAACAAACCTGTAAAACATTTGAATAATTGAAGAAATCAGAAAATATATACTGATAAATAAAATTGAAGTGTCTATTTGTAATATCGAAATAAAAGGTTTTTACTAAATGCATATAAAATTATAAATCGTACTTATCAAAAAAAAACACATTTTTTATTTTTTTTGTCTGTTTGTGCCGGACGGCTAATCTTCGAAAATTCGCCGGCCGGCACAGACACAAAATGATGGACTGATTTCGATGAGACTTTCATTGGTAGACAGCTGATGTTATAAGGAGTAATTAAGGCTACTTTTATTTTAAAAAAAGGATTAAGGGTCCGTTTGGCTCAAAAAAATTAAAACACTGAGTGATACACCCAAGCGAAGCGAGGGAAAATCGCAAGTATATGATAATATACACAGCAGTCTTCTCTGTATTAAACAATAGCATCAGGTAACTGTTTAGGCAAATATAATAAAGGACAGCCTATTGTGGACGGTAATGAAAGAAATATTTGCACAATTTAAATGATATGTAATATGAAGATTGCTTTATCATCCATTTTTCATAAATCAATCATTAATAATCAGATAAGAAATGGATGCTTATTTTAAAATTCCATAAGATTTTATTCTTTCATGAGGTTTGCTTACAGGCAACAATATGTTACTGAGTATTAAAATAAAACAAAATTTCTTGTTGGTCAAAGATTCAAGGAATTCTTTTAGTTCATAGAATTTGACTGTAGACATTTACTTATGAATTTCTACATGGAACACAAGATATACAATATCATTTTCTTTTTCAGTTCAAATTTTCTAACATTAACAGATAATTCACAATAAGGAAATTATTTATACTTTTTTTGACATCTCTAATTGAATTTAAACATTTTTATAACTTTATTCCCTTATATTTGAAAAAAAATATAAGGTGACCATAGTTAATAGAAAAACTACTAACAGAGGACAATGACAACTGTTTAATTATTGTGATGTTTGTAAGTTGAATGATAAGAAATTTATTAAGACATTGTATTATGACTACGGAAATTTGGTGTGAAATTACACATGAAGAAAAGATTAAGCAGAATTTTAGATCTATTATTAGGCTTTTACTTAAAAACAGTATATTTGATAACCTTTTCAGTGATAAATACAACATATTATTAATTTTCTTTCCTTTAATCATCAAAGTTTTGAGACAGCAAAAAGTTTGCTGCCAGGTTTTCATTCTTTTCACAAGCAAAATAAGCTTGTATAACCATATGTTCAGGAAAACCCAAAGCTTTTAACCGTTCGATAGCTTCTTTGTCTTGAGGTGACACTTGTATAACATTTTGAGGTTGTTGCGGGGGAGGATTCTCTACAGCAGCAGCATCATCAGCAGCTGCAGCTCCAGCACTTGGAGTACTTACAGGTTCATTAAGCATTCTAACAAAAGCTTGTTGGTGCTGACTTATTGCTTGCAAAAGTGCTGGATTACTTTGACCAATTTGCTGTAATACAGTGTTCAATAAGTTAGGATTCTGCTGAATCACCGCACGCATTTGCTGAAATTGAGGTTGATCTCGTAAAAAGCCTAATGGATCGTCATCAGAGCTTTCTTCAGCTTCTTGCTCCTGTAGTAATTCTTCAGGAATTCCTGTGATCAAATATTCCACGGCTCTCTCGCGATTATTAAATGACGCGCGGAGAGCTTGTTCAACTTGCTGCCTGTTATAGCCCATATCCATTATGCTTTGAACAGTGGATTCAAAATCAAGTTCACTAGCCGCAACCGCTGGTTCGGCCGCACGTTCAGCTTCGACAACTGGAGCAGGTGCAGGTGTTTCTTCTGAGGTTTTATTTTTACCATCCCCACTTTCCGTTGATGCACTTTCTCCTGCTTCGGGTGCAGAGGTAGATGACGCTTGTTGATTGTCAGATGATTTAGGTTTCGTTACCATAATAACGATAAATTTCTTTTCATCTATATTATACGTACATAGTTTGTTATCGTCGAGAAGAATCTTACCCGCATAAATAAGTTTTTGATTATCTGCCGCATAATCTTTACCTTTTTCAACCTCAATTTTAAGCTTCAATGCTTTTACTGTTTCATCGGGGTCAATTTCAATTTGAAATGTTTGTTGTTGTAATGTTTTTAAAGTCACCAACATTTTGGTTTAGTACCCAGTACAATGAAATATTTTTGATCTCTCACAAATACTACACCGACTGACTCGACAAAATTATCCAGTAAACATAACCTCGTTGCCAAAATTACTTTTTTATGTCATCAATGTTCGGATACGCGTAGTCGCGTAAATATAAAACTATTTAACAACAGCTCTTAACCACATTTTAAATTGGTTCTAAAAAATCATAAACTTTATTTCAGTGACTAATATTTTATTTAACTTTTTGGTATGTAAATATAATTTCGATTGAGGGGGCTATTTTGAAGGTACATTTATTTATAAATATTAAATAAACAATTTACGGTCAAACATGTGCTTATGGCGAACAATCAAGAACAAACATTACGTGAAAATAAAAATTCAAAAATCAGAAAAAACATCCTGCGAGCCCAAATGAAAATTGTTAGTTAAATAAAAAAAATAGGCACTTTGACGATATTGTACATAATACATACAAATCATAAAAAATCATGATACATTTAAAAATCAGATAAAAAAATATCCTTGGAGGCCAAGGATATTTTTTGAAGTGAGCCCATTTTTATCGACAAGAACGCATTTATCTAATACCTTTAAACGGGCAATTCTCGTTTAATTAGGTATTTATTTATATTCGATACGGCTCTTACGATTTCGCTGAAATTAGTTAAATGAGGGTTTTCGGTAGCGAAAAATCGGTTTAGATTACTCTTATGTCTGGGAAAACGCGTGTTTTCGAGTTTCAATGAGATTTTCTTTAGTATAATTCCACGCAAAATATTGTCGCTAATTTTGCACGCTCGAGCATAAGCATCGTGGTCAAGCGGCCAAGGCGCATGATTGACTATCGCAGGTGTCCAGGTTCGATTCCCGGTCGGATACAAAGTATTTATGTGATCTACATTTATGTATGTATGCATTGTATTTATGTATATAATGTATGTATGTATATGGGTATGTACTTATTTATGTATTTAGGATATGCAATTGTGTGTAGTAAGTGCACCGCCTACCATTTCATATAATTTCTCCTACGCCCTAAGGTTCCCTGGAAGAGATCGCTTATAGCGATAAGGCCGTCTCCTGTGCATCATCTATTGTTTATATCTTCTTTTTGTATATTTCTTTTGTGGTGTACAATAAAGTATATATCTACTTTTGACCTAAAATTCCGAACGAAGCTCGGTGGCCCAGGTATTTTTAGAAATTCTCGTTTTATTCGTGTTTTTAATAATCAACTAAAACATACACTTATTGTTTTTTTATGGGAAGAAAAATAATAAAAAGGGGGCGTTTGGATAGTCCTGTTGCCACTTAAACATATACTGAAAAAAAATTACTCTTTCCGACATCTATTGGCGAATAATAATACTATTTTTTTTTATTGTGTCCAGGTATGAATCTCGGTCGCATACAAAGTTTTTACTTTTATTTTTTTTAATATTTATTCAAGTCTTTAGTTTAAAAAAAAAGACGCAGGATTGACAATCATAGGTGTCCGAGTTCGAATCCCGGTCGGATACAAAGGTATAATTTTTTTTGTATTTATTCAAGTTTTTAGTTTTTTTTAAAGGAAATCGTACTTTTTAACCAAAAACTCCGAACGAAGCTTTTATTAACTTACTTTTATCACAAAACACAATCGTAATCGTCGATTACTAAGTGCAATAATGGTAATCAATAAGTGATAATCGTTCATCACTACTTTTTACGCAGTCGGGATTTTTATTTTTGTAAATATTTTTTTAATTAAATCCAATTTTTGAATTTAAAAATCACGTTATTTGAAAATAATTTCATTTATTAGGCTTTAACTTTCTTTATTTCTAAAAGTATGTTTGTTATTATAATAATTACAATTCAGTTAAAAAGCTATATCCATTTGTAATTAGGGCAGCAAAACCGGTCTTGAGAGGGTGATTAAGATATTTGGATACTTGCAGCAAATATTTATTTAATAGAATCAGGAATTTAGTTGCGAATGAGTCTTACAAAAGTTTTACTATAAAAATTATACCTAATGGTACATTTTAATGGTTAAATTGAAATATTTTGTCAGTTATTACCAAGCTACTTATTACTAGCCACATTTTTCATTTCCCCAATAGACTGAAAACTGATGAGAGTATTATTATAAAGGATTTATAAAATAATTTTTTCACAATCATCAAGCCATTTTTGAGGTACATTCTTAGTTCCAGTTTGCAACTGTTTTATAGCATTAAAAATTGCTAAGTCAGCTATGGAAAACTTATTATTATTAATCCAGCTCTTAGAGCTATTGTTGTTCATAAATATAGTGTTAATAAAGAATTCTTTCTTTTTGTCTGCAGCATTTTCAAGTTGATGACAGATATCTAGAAATCCATCTAATTCATAATTTTCGTAGTCATAAGGGACAATATCATTGTATGTAAGACACAAATATCTTATTATATTTACATTGCCAAGAATGGGTACATCTAAGGATGAAATTTTTAGTTCCGGTGTTGTTGAATCTGAAACCATTAAGATTTAATAATTAAAATTTAAAGTTACAACTAGTACACTGAATATTATAAGTAGGACATTCTATGTGATATGTCTTTTATTACTTACCACATTTGAATATCAACCTTATGTTGATTTTTGATTCTGCTTGTAACTGGTATAAGTTATGGAATCTTTTAAAAAATGCCTTTATTTTGTTTACTTGTGCGTTAGAAACAGAAGAATGTATATGCCATTTGACATTAAGTGTCTGAAGGTTTTTTAAAAATATGTTCAAAAACCATGGCAGGTTGTCAGAATTTAGAATAATAACTATTTCTTCTTGTTCTTTCTGTAATAACACAAAATGAATTGGTAGAAATATAGATCCTTATGATACATAATGATACAATTCTTCGAACTTGCATTGTATTTAAAATAAATCTAAGTAAAATTAAATACAATATTAACTTTAAGAAATTATTTCTACATAATATTTGGTCTTGATCTTTCCTTGCAAAGGAATTATGGACAATTTTAGTATTCAGTAATAATAATTACAAAAAGTATTGAGACTCTTATTCCTCACTAATTTATTTCATAATACTCAATTTTATAATACCTATCATACTATATTACTTACTGTATCCACTATATTTTTTTGTCTTATTTCACATTTGGTTGATTGATCATTTAGCAAACAGAGTACACTTATCTTTTTAATTCTGTCATAAAGGACATCTAATTTCTGTAATAACTTATCTTGTCTATGTTCTAAATCAAAATTCTGATTATTAGGCATTTTCTGAAACAGAAAAATAATAAGAATTATTTGATAAATCATGACTAATGAATGATGATATATGTTACCTGTAAAACATCAAATATATTATGAGAATATGGCATTCCCCATAAATCATAATTGATAATTTTTTAGTTATCCCTCAAATATATTTTATCTTCTATAAATGTGGTAACTAAAACACACACAAAGGAAACTTATGCAGGACTCAGTAAATTTGGTCATTATAGTTTTTTGTCCAAATATACATCACAATATATATAATGATTATGCTAAATTATTAAACTTTTGAATTTCACTTATCTGCAAGGATTCTTATTTATATTTTATAAGCCAGACATTTCCATAGCTTCTTAAGAGAATAAAAAGAAAATATGATTCATAATCAAATACCCATTTGTACATTTTTTTATGGATAGGCTGGTGTAGAAAATGAAGCACTGCAGCCCTTTTTTTTATCGTCAGGAAAAACCCGGTTCCCGGGTACCCGCTCGCCAATGGGGAAGCGAGGCGGGTTATGAACCTGACACCTCCATCGCCTTACGGCCGGGGGCCACGGGTACCACGGTACAAAAAGTCTTTTCCGCGACCTCGTCAGTGAGTGCCTGTTAAGGCCCGTCTCGAACATTTACATTTTTATTAACGACTAAAGATTATGAGTTTTCGAATGCTTAGCTTGTGTATTTTACCGTTTGAACAAGTTATTTCACAATTTATAAACCTATCCTATATTAATATAAAAAATATGTATACAATTTGAAATAAACCTTAAGAAATTTGGTAACCTGATCACATATATTGATTTCTGTATCCTTTTCGTTAATGTCGATGGGATTTTTTAAACGATACATGCACTTTGGCAACACTATTTCTTCTTCAAAAGCTATAATGTTTTTCATGTGATACATGGCTTAGTTATTTTTGCAAAGATTATAATTTAGAGCAGATATATTTCTCCAAATTTATATTACACATGTCACAAACCCTTGGCTACCCCGCCTACCAGCCACATTTCCATTTGTACACACTTGACAGTTGACACTCCATAGGACACAGATCAGTGCAACCAACACTCTTTAAAGAAAACGCGCTAAATTGACTTCAAAAAAGCGCTACATTTGGACATTTTTCGAAAAAAAGCGCTAAATTATAAAAACAAAATAAAAATTTAGTAATTATAATTATTTTTAATTAAAAGTTACATGAAAAGACAAAAATTATCTACAAATTTAATAACTAATATTCTTCATCGTCAGAAACTTGTTATTCTTGTACAATTTGGTGGTATCTACGTCTAGTGATGAACGAATATTCGCAATCGCGAATATTAGCATATTTTGTAGTATTCGCAAGAAACGATGTGAATGCTTGGCGAATGTATTTGACAAACAAAAAGGGAATTATATATGGAATGAACGGACGAATAAAAATACAACTGTGATTTACAAATGCTTTAATACAGGTCTCCTAGTATGGCAACAGAGGCTACTTTTATAAGTTAGTTTAGCGCAAAAAGTGTCATATACAAAAATAATCTACGATAAATTGTAAACAAAAATGGTTAAATGCATAATCTTGCTACAGTGAACGGTTCTAGAGTTACTGAGGAATGAGGATATAAGAGTAGCAATTTTTCGTATTAATCAGATTTTTCGGATTTTTTGTGAATCATCATGCCAGCATGTTTTGTGAAGTGGTACAGGAGCCTTGCAACATTAAAATGTCCAGGAATCACTTTTCACTAAGAAGTAGTGGAAAATTAGAATATAGTACCTGGGCTACCGAGCTTCACTTGGAGTTTTTGGTCTAAAGTACAATTTTCTTTTTTTTAAACTAAAAACGTGAATAAATATTTAAAAAAAAACAAAAGAGATTCGAACCTGGACACCTTTGATTGTTGATCTTGCACCTTGGCTGCTTGACGACAATATTTACACCAGAGCATGCATAGTCCCGACCATATTTTGCGTGGAATAATGTAAAAGAAAACTGCATGAAAACTCGAAAACACGCGTTTTCTCAGACATAAAACTAATCTAGATCGATTTATCGCCCCCGAAACCTCCTGTATACTAAATTTCATGGAAATCGTTGGAGCCGTTTCCGCGATTCAGATTATTTATACAAGAATTGCTCGACAAATACGTTGTCAAACCGTGATGGCCAATACTTTGCAAAATGAATTCAATAAATTTTTGACCTAATTTAAAAAGTTTTTTTCTTCTTGGTGAAAATAAATTGAAATGTAAATCGGTAAAATTAAGTTATTTTATAATAGTAATGTCTTTTTTTGCTTATTTTGAAAAAAATACCGCAGTACCAGTTTGTACAGTAAGTACCTACTGTTTTACTATTAAAATAATTAACGTAAGTATTATAAGTCAAATCTTAAATTAAGCTGCTTTTTTTACGCAGATGATTCGTCATTGATGATTCATGCAATTATAAAACTCATTAAAATCATAAAAATGTTTAAAATTAAAATTAAGTAATTTTGTAAGGTACTATGGTGTCATTAAAATTTAAAGTTTTTTTTTTGTGACAAATACAAAGGATCTTAATTTATAATACCATGGTTATACAAAATATTCGAGTAGTACAACGTGGTATAAAACTAGCTCTTAATGAGGGAAAGTAAGAAGCGGGAAAGTAAGAACCCGCGCACCTCCCGCAACAACCGCTCACGCCTGTGTAATTTTGTTAAAATCTGCGTGTTCTGATTAAAATATTATTTACCGATGAAAAGAAATATCTTTGTTCGTTTTGGCTTGCTTTCGTGAATCATTTTTACAGCTGCACATTTCACCATGATTACATAAATTTAAATAAATACCGATGAGAGAAACAGTCAGCGTGATTGACTTTTCGTAACTAATAGCGTCGCCCTTACTATTCCGAGACTGTTCATACCCGTGCTTACAGTTCATACTTGCTAGCGCGCGCTCTATAGCTTATGCATACTCTAAGCCTAATTCTTTTACGGAAATAAAAGTAGCCTAAGTTACTCCTTATAACATCAGCTACCTACCAGTGAAAGTCCTGTCAAAATCGGCCCAGCCTTTTCGGAGATTAGCCAGACAAAACAGAGAGACAGACAGACAAAAATTTTTTTTTAAAATCGTGTTTTTCTTATAAATACCGTATATACATAAGTCCTTAAGCATTTAGTAAAAACCTAAAAATTTTGAGATTACAAACAGACACTTCAATTTTATTTATCTGTATAGATTTCATTAAAATATTAATTTAATTTTTATATAAACAAACAAACAAAGTCTGTCTCTTTATAATATTAAATAATATTTCTAATTATTGCGGATTAATGTTTGTTAAGAAAAACCCTATGTGCCATTCTTATGACCTTTCTTATCGCACGAGATCCGGCTGCAAGATTGCTACCTTCATAGAGTATTTAATGAAAATATTTTTTTATATACAATAAAAAAAGGGACAATATGCTTTGGCCAACAAAAGACAATATCATCTGAGGAAAGAATATATTATTCTATGTATATCATTTTTGTCAAACAATAACAACGGTTACTATGGCAACAAACAGTTAACTAACGCGCTAACTCTCTTTCACTTTAATCTATGTTTAACAGGTAGTAACCCCCATTTGCGGCCACTTTTACATAGGCAGAGGTAGTTTATCAGGTACTGAAATAAATTTGCTTTAATTTGATATATAAATAAAGAAAATACGGCATATGAACGTATAAATGAATGAACAGAATATTACCTGCTTACATCTGGCTGCGAAGAGGTTGCGGCCAAGTGCGCAACGGCAGCTATCACTTTCAAGTTCTCTACGTATATTCCTGTGAAGTGGAGTATAATTTATTTTAGTAACAAGTGAATTAATTTTGTTCCAATAAGTCAATTATTATTAATTTAATTGAAAATGCTAGCGGGTACATTTTAATAGGCAACCCGGTCAAAACATACTGGCTGCCGCAGCCAGGCTGCCTAGTGCGCGAGCTCTCTTATTATTGTACAATGTACATAAAAAAATGATATTGATTAAATACTCGATGAACGTAGCAATGTTGCAGCCAAACCTTAATAAAGTTTCTCAATTATAGATATGCAATTGACAAAAATATTTTGATAAAAGTATATTTTAAAAATATTAAATAATAAATCCTTTATAGTATATATACTTTCGATTTTCAAATTTTGCTTTATATTTTGATGGTACCGACTACCGACACCGAGTGCCTTTAAAGATTTTCAAATCTAAGCGCTTATATTTAAGTGAAACCTGTTCGAAATTTTGGTCTGGTATCATGAGCTAATGATTTATCAAAATTAATGTATTTTATAAATATGTTTTTTACTGTACTTATTAATTCACAATTTACATGTAAAATAAATTAAAGTAATAAATTGACTCAATATTGAAATGAAATAAAAAAATGGCGGCCATCTACCTAGACTGACTGATTGCGATGTGATAAAGTGTTGTGCGCAACTGTTATGTAGTATTATCTTGTTAAGGACAATGGATGTTGCAATTCAGACGTTATAAAATATAGTTCTTTTATAATATTAGTATCTTGTCTATGTACTATGTTTGATTTTTGAAAGATGGTCGATTGGTGTAAAATTCAATAACCCTCAAGTTAGAAAAACGACATGGCGGACTAATAATCAACCAATGAGAAGCAAGCATTAAGCGTTTCAGAATTGCATGCACCTATTCACATTTCGCGTCATTACGTTTTGGTGCCTTGTTTCTTAGATAATAATCCAGAACTGTGTAGTGTTGAATAATGTACAATGCTTTTTTATTAACGAAATAGTGAAAAATATTGCGTTTCTTGACTGTGCCATTCTCTTTCTTTGAAGCGTCTCAAAAGGCTAGGACCATGAATGCCTTAGATTTAGGGTGAACCTAAATACACTTATATACATCGTTTTGTTTTTGTAAACAATAATGTGTTTTCAATACACGTGCGAAATTGTACAAAATTGACAGTTGCTCATAATAATGACGGGAAGGGGGACGAAAAAACGCGGGAGGCCCCCGAAATCGGGAAGTTTTGAAAAGAATAGAAAATTTCAATATCATTTAATGAAAAAACCAAAATATTTACAAGCTCAAAATGTGGTATCTGGTTCTCTATTAAATACTCCGTCGGCGTCTAGAGCATCTTCGCCACAGGGAAGTGATATTAGCAGGCGAAGTACAAGGAAGCAGAGAGGTGGAAAATCACATAAAAGTAAAAGAGGAGGATTGTCAAATGCTTATTCCCGAAGAGGGTATAACCCTCATGCTGCCGATTACCATGAATCGGAATATCACTATGGATCCGATTTTGGAGATGAATATAGTGACAGATCTGAACCAGAAGAAGATCGCGCCAGTGAGAGTTCCGAAGGTACTATTCGTGACGGTGCAGCGAGTGACAGTGATTTTTCTATTAGTAGTTACAGTTCTGTTGGTGGAACTCCACGAAAAACAAGTAATAATCTTCTAAGGCCACCCAGTCCAGATCCTCTGTGGTTGCAACAGGAACGTCAGATTCCACCACTAATACTTCCACCCTCTTCAGATGATTTGATAATATCTCACCATATAGTTTTACAAATAGTAGGAATATATGAAGTACTAAGGCACTTTAGACATTTGGTAAGATTATCACCTTTTAGATTAGAAGATTTGTGTGCAGCTGTGAGCTGTGAAGATCAGAGTAATTTACTCATAGAGGTACATATAATGTTGCTTAAAGCTTTGTTACGCGAAGAGGATGCACAACAGACTCACTTTGGGCCATTAGATCATAAAGATAGTGTGAATATTACCTTATTTTTATTAGACATTATGACTTGGCCAGAAGTTTTAAGAATTTATGTAGAAAGTGATAAATCATTTGATCAGAACATAGCTAGGATCTTAAATTCATGTGAATATCCTTTTACAACTGTTGAAGATCGTTTAGCTGTACTACAATTTTTATGTAATCAATTTTTAATTACAAATCCAGTTCGAGATGATCTTATAAGTGAAGGTAAATATTATTATACTTATTCTGTTACCATACTTTATATGTTCCCTTTAACTGTAGTCAATAAATATTTAAACTGACAACCCATAATGAAGAAAAAGATTATTTGTAAACAAATTTGTATTTACCTGAGAGGTGCTCTTTAAAAAAATTATGACTAATTTATAAATATGGACTAGTACCGACAATAAATTTAAAAACTTGGAATTTGAACTATATTCTTTAATAAACTACTTCAGGGGATTTTGAACATTTAATTTAATGTTCATTCAATAAATGATATTAAAAAAAAATCCTTCATTAGAGGGGTATTTTTAACTTTTAATAGAATGTGCATTCAATAAACTGAATAAAATTCTTTATAAGAACCTACCTTTATTGTACAACTGGCGAGACTCACTTTGCTGTGGTATGTTTCTACGGTTAGTATGGAATGAAAAACTGTGAAAAACAAAAATAAAACTCTCAAAGACAAGAACCATATATTTTTTCGAGATAAAAAGTCTTGTATGTGCTATTCCAGATAATCTATCTCTGTGCCAAATTTCATCCAGATCTGTTCAGCCTTTCTGGCATGATTGAGTAACTAACATCCATCCATTAAAACTTTCACTTTTAAAAATATTAATGATGGGATGAAGTATTGTGCAATATTGAATGCTTGTAAGCCTGGTTAAAGGTTCATGGCGTTCAAAGGTTCATATTTGTGAGATCTGGGTTTGAATGTTTTATAAATATACAAATTCATTATAAGCTATAATAGAATTAAAGATATACTTGAAAGGTTGCCTAGAAGAAATCACTCTTTTAGTGATAAGGCCACCTCTTGTACTTTCTCCTATATTTTGTATATTTTCTTTTGTATACAATAAAGGGTTTATAAATAATAAATAAATAAACTTATAACAAACTGTTCAACATAAGACAAAAGTTTGCCTTTGTTTCTTAATCCTTATAATTTAAATATAACAAATATATCTATCAGGCTTTATATCTTATTTTTTTCCAGCAATCAAATTTGAATAAAATAATAATACTTAAATAAATTTTTGAATATTATAGTAGTGATACATTATAAAATTAAAATAAAATAGATTAAAATCAATGAAACTAAATTTGTGATACATTTGAAAAGTAATAATTTTAATAAGAGTAAAATAAGAAATAAATAAAAAATAATTTTAACAATTTATTTATGGTAACCATAAGTTACAATAGAGGAAACATTTTCTTTCAGCTCCTATACAGTATGATGATCACTGTCGAGTTTGCCATCGCTTGGGTGATCTATTGTGCTGTGAAACATGTCCAGCAGTTTTTCATCTGGAATGTGTTGATCCTCCACTAGTCAATGTACCATCAGAAGATTGGCAGTGTGCTCTGTGCAAACAACATAAATTAACAGGTGTAACTGATTGTTTGCCTGATGCTGAGAAACAAGGACTATTGTGTCGCCATGAACATTTAGGTTTTGACAGACATGGAAGAAAATACTGGTTTATTGCTAGAAGAATATTTGTGTATGTAGTAAATAATTTATTTATTTTTAGCAAAATAAAAAACACTCACAATAACATATTTCTAAATGCTTACAATATTGTTTAAACATATTTATTTTGTAGAGAGGCTGAAAATGGTGAAGTGTGGTACTATACAACATCTCATCAATTGCAAAAGCTCCTAGAAGTTTTAGATGCAAACGAAATGGAAGCCCCTTTAGTAAGAGAACTGTTAGAAATGAAACAAGAAATCTTAAGGCAAATGGATGTAACAGAAAATTTAACAGAACAGGCTAAAGGAAATCGAAAATCTTATTTAGAAGTTGAGATTGCTAATTTTAAGAAGCAGAAAGAGCAAAGACATTTGGATCCAAAAAATGAAATTAAACTAGATGAAAAACGTGATTCAAATACGTCATTAGTGAATGACACTGATTTTATTAATGAAGTCACTGTTACCAGCGATGAAATTGTAAGAGATGAAAATGATGATGATGATGACAATGAGGATAATAAGGGAATTAAAAACAATTGTATGTCTAAGGGAAAAGTACACATACAGAAGAAAAGTGACGATGGTAAGTTTTTTATGTCTAGAAGATTTATAAATTATTAAGCTAAAACTTGCAAATGTATAAACATTGTGAAAAATGTCAAAATATATAATAAAATTGTAAGGTTCAAAATTTTTATTTATATTAGATAGTAGGTAAATAGCTTGTTGATAAATTGGATGATTAATAAATAATTAACAACAGTTTTATTTAATACTAGCGACTCATCCTCGCTTTGCTCGGGTGAGTCTCTAGGTAGGTAGGTTTCAGGTGCTTACTATAGAATAGATAGACTGTATATTATACATACATAGGTATGATGAGTTTTTGTCGGTTGTATAAACTTGAAAAAATAACACGCTTACCTGTAGGAATGAGATAATTTCCCGCGGTAAAAAGTAGCTTAAGTCACTTTCAGCCCTCCAACTATCTCCACACAAAAAATCACGTCAATTCGTTGCTCCGTTTTGAAGTGAAAGAAGGACAAACAAACAAACACACTTTCACATTTATAATATTAGTATGGACTTTGTTACATCATTCTTCTTTTTTTAAAAATGAATAAATTTTTTGAATCATAGCACCAAGCACTAGTAAGATTCCTGTATTTGCTGTTCTGTGGTGAGATGATGGATAACTAATATGGGGCATTCTATATTGATTACGACAACTGACCAATTTTTAGCAGTGCGGCAATATTTAAATTTTGGATATTCTATTTTACCTATTTTATTACTAAACTAAAAATTGTAGTTAGCTCATATTTTAGATATATAATCCGGTCTGTAGTAATAATATTTGAAGTCCTCTTTTGTTTTAGTTTAAAAAAAACTGCAATAACAATATTTTTAGTTACAGAACGGGTGACACGGCTGAAATCTAATCAAATCTCAAATGGCACATATCTTTTTAAGTTGGGTAATGAGAATGCTTTCAAAAGTTACATTAACCAATATACTATTAACCCTCTGGCATTAAATAAACCACAAAGAAATGAGGAGAGGGACAAAAAACGTTATATTTCCCATAAATTTTCTCTTTCTTCAGGACAAGAATTTAAATGGATTGGTTTATTAAATGGTAACTTTTATTATAAAATTATCTACTGCTCTATATTTATTTTTAAAGGTTTTATTCAATGTGTCTTTTATTTCCAGCAACAAAACCTTTACTTGTGGCAACCCTTAGACAGACATTATTCCAGCTAGAATCTAATATAGTATTACAATTTATGCATCCAAATTGGACATTGTTACGGAAACCATGGGTTCAGGCTGTTCAACTTTGTCAAGCTCCTAGAGACTTCGCCAGAGCTCTCTGTGTTTTGCAGGTACTTATAATAATACTAATATTAAAACTGAATGATAAAATGAACTATCATATATGATGATGATCTCTATAAATGTTTTTCATTAAAAATCGAAAATACATTTTTTTTATTAGTATGGGTAAAGTGGACTCGTTTTGATGTGAATATATTAATTTTAATATAAATAAAAATTGACTAAAGTATACTTTTTATTTTCTCAACAGGCTTGTATAAAAAATGCCGTATGGGTGCCAGCGTGGCATGAACAACTAGGCCATGTGCGTCTCATACGCACCACTGCTGCTGAAAGAGAAGAACGCAAAAAACTTGATAAACGAGAGAAAAAAGAGAGGGATGAAGAAGAGGAAAGAAATAGAACAGCTTGCAATTTTGTTAAATATTCATTAGGCCTCCGACATCAGGTAAATTCTTATTTTATAATGGTACTCCTTTATAGTGTTAATTAAATCTAGTAGCATGCTACGACCAGACTACTTTTATTAATTTGACACTTAAATATTCTTTTACATACAAACTCTGCCTTGTCAATCCTCCATTTACATGTAGATGTCTTTGATTCTATTCTATTTACAGGTTTGGAAACAAAAAGGAGAAGAATATAGAATTCATGGACAGTGGGGATGGTTATGGAACTCTGCAACAAGGAAATACAAAAAGCATAATAGCAATCCAAAATTAGGCCTATGTCATGGACCAGCAAAAATTGCAGTTAGAGTCAGGGAAGGAAGTATAATAAAAGTACTAGCAGTGGAACCAAAAACTTATGAATATTTAACGTCCAATGAATCTACTGACAAGGATGTCATGGATAAATGTATGTATAAGTGGTATTTTTGCCCTGTTTCTTATATATATATATATATATATATGTGTGTATGTATGAATATCATAACTCCCAAATTTTGTTCTGTGTTTTTTTACAGTGCCAGCATCTATGAGAAATATGAAGGTGGAAAAAGAAACCGAAGATTTTGAAGAAATAGATGTTGAAAAAGCCTTGAGTTCTTCAACAAGGAGGTATTACCCTAAAATTGCGAGAAAATCTAAGTTAGACGATTATTTAGCACGTCGTACGTATTTAAAGTTTATGGAAGAGAAAAAGTTAGGCAACCTTTTAAATAACATAAAAAAAGAAGATGTGAAAACTGAGGAAGATAAGAATGTTGACGTCGAAAGTGAAGAACCAGATGCAGAACTGACTCCAGCAGTTGTAACAAACAGTGACGATAGCAGTAAAAATCTAAGTTTACCCTCTAAAAGCTTCGAGGCTTTAAAGGAAAAATACCTAAACTTAGCGAATTTAACTAAACATTATAAATGTTATTCAGAGAAATGTAACAACAAGTCAGACTCATCTGCAGTGGTATCAGGCTTGAAAGTTGAGTGCTATTCTCCAACGTGTATTGAAAAAGGACAGTTATTAAATCAGTTATTAGGTTTAATAAAAGATGGTACTAATAATTATAATTCTTTTTTGCTTGCAAATTGTAAGGAAAATAATAAAGTGTCCATACTGGAACAATATTTGCTAGGAAAGACTTCTAGTTCTAATGAAAATATACTTTCCGACTTACTTTCGGCAGTAGCATGTGCACAAGAATGTGATGTCAAAAGTTCTGATTGTTTTGTCAAAAGAAAGTCTAGTGGAGATAGTGATGTTAATTGCAAACTTGAAAAATTTGGCAGTGATAATAACAATTCAATGTGTCTTATTAAGTCTGAAAGTACACTCGAAGAATCTGCTGTTCCTGCAGTTGGAAATGAAATGGATATTGACATAACAAGTAATAGTAATGAAGACAATGAAGTCGAAATAGGGCCTCTCAAGGAGTTGACTGAGCATGATCAAAATTCTACATCAGAAGATAACAAGGATCGACCGCCTATACCTAAGTTAAAAATAACTCGAGGCAAGTCTACCAAATCTAATTCAAACATGAGCAGTGAAAAGGGACACGATCCCTCGTACGAATGTTCATTGAAAACAGAAAAAGGGCTACATAAACCAAAATATCGTGCCGTTATAAACAGACGATTTGGATTAACAAGGAGTATAAAAAAAGAAGACAAAATAAAGGAGGAAAAAGTTGATGATATAGTAAGGATTTATTCCACAGAGAATCCCAGTGGTAAAGTTTACCTAAAGAGAGTACAAACTGCTGCAGTAGAAAAGAAGAAGAAAAGAACCCCCGTCAAGTATCCTCTCTGTTCCTCTTTTCATACGAAAAGCAAAGCTAAAACAATAATGGTTCTACCTCATCATGAATTAAAGAAGTTGTGCAGGCAATCGGGACACAGCACCGTGTCGGGGTTCAGTCACAGCTGCAAGCCCAACCAGCTGGTGTGGCCCTACCCGTGCGCGCGGCCGCTGTTCAAGACCTGCTGGCTGTACCGCACCGTCAACCTGCAGTGGCTGGCCAGCGCCGCGCTGCAGCTGCGCGTGCTGTGGGCCTGCCTGCGCTGGGACGACATGGCCGCCAAGCCTGCCACCGCCGATGGCAAGCACCAGCTCACTACTGACACAGAAATCGTGTCACTCGAACTGTTGAAACATCGCCATATCGGACAATTCTCTGAGCGCACTCAATATCTCCGCAGGAAAGTTGTTATACCCTTAGAGTTACCCAAAACTGTACGGGAAGTGACGTCTATTCGGAGCGGATTACGGAAAAGAAAACGTGCTGAATCTCCCCAAAATACCGAACCTCAGGTGAAATTGCCATGAATACTGATATTATTGATTTGAATATGTAGTAGCTGCACAAATGTTAATTAAATTATAAATTTTAGGTGTCGGAAGAGTGGGTCGACGAAGACAAACTGGAACTTTGGGAGGTCCGGCAGTACGGGGAGCGCGCGGAGCGGGTGACGCCGGTGACGCGCACGTCCACGGGCAAGCTGCCGCAGCGCAACGCCGCCGCGCCGCCCAACGCCGCCGACCTCAAGGACAAGATGGAGCAGCAGCTCCGCGAGCAGCGCGCCGCACACCAACAGAAACGAGCCCTGGAGATGTCAGGTTAATATGAAAAATATCTAACCATATTGTCATTTTGTGTATAGGTTTAATATTATAATTAATATTGTCTTTTGTATCCCAGAAAAATCGAAAACGACTCCCAATCAAGTTTCCGGTAAAAGCACTTTGACTTCACTATTAACGACGAATGCAACCACACCTACGGGTCAAAAAACTATAATCGGGACCAGGAGAATTATTATGACTAAAGGAGCTGACGGCACTACGAGAGTCATCAGTCAGCCTATCGGGAGTGCCACTAAATCGGTTTTATCTTCTGATGCGACAAAATGTAATGCAACTCCTCAAAAAGACGGACCCCAAAAAGTTCAAATAATAAGAACCCCCGACGGCAAAATAACCGTTCGCGGGCTGCTCGCGGGGCAGCAACTGATACAGATGCCTGACGGCAAGTTACACGTGGTCATGCCCGGGCAGCAGGGCATAGCGGGGCAACTGGTGGCGGCCTCGCCGGTACCCAAGGTGGACGCCGACGCGCCCGCACCCGATGCTAATGATAAGATCGCTCAGAATAAGAGCACCGCAGACAATGCCGCATCAAACCAAACGCCTCGAATCACAAGCCAGCCGGCGCCTCCCACCATGGTGGCGGGCGGGCGGCACATCGTGGTGCAGCCGGCGCAGCAGGTGGTGGTGCAGGCGACGCAGCAGGTGGTGGTGTCGGCGCCGCAGGTGGTGGTGCAGGCGGGCGCGCGCGCGCCGCCGCCGCGCGGGCCCGTGCAGACCGTGCTGGTGCCGGGGCAGATGCTGCGCGCGCCCGCGCCACGCGCCGCGCCTGCCGCCCCGCGCGCTGCCGCGTCGCCTCGACCGCGCCCCGCCGCCACGCAGCAGATAGTCGTCAACAACCCCGCGCTCGTGCAGCAGATAGCGGCTGGCAAGATACAGCTCGCCACGGTCAACGGGCAGCAGGTGCTAATCCGGCCGACGGGCAACAACCAGGCGCAGATCGTGGCGCACATCGGCCAGAGCCCCGCGGCCGCGCCCGTGGCGGTGGCGGCTACGCCGGTGGTGCGCGCGCCCGTGCCCGCCCTCGCGCCCGCCCTGGCGCCCGCCCTCGCGCAGCAGCCGCTCACCGAAGACCAGATTATGGAGAAACGACTACTAGCCGGCCAGCCGCCGGGTACTGTTATTAAAACAGTAACTGCTCAGGTGAATTTTATTTCAGGATCTTATGTTATCTTACATATTTACAGTAATCGTTGAACTATGCCTAAATTATTTTATATGTTTTTAGGTGATGCAAACTAGCAGTGGCCCAAGCATAGTTCTACAGGGCCTACATGGATACTCTTTAACGCCACAGCAGCTAGCACTGGTTCAACATCAAGTCAAGCAACAACTTTTAAAAGGTATATATTTAAAAATAATAATTTTGAAACAAATCGAAAGTTAGTAATTATTTACGATTGTTGTATTTTTTACTTGATCGATTTGTAACAGAAACATTGATTTAAAATTGATCCATGTTTGATGTTCCAGCACAAGAGTCGACGGGCAAGCAGGGCATGCTGGGCCCGCGCAAGATGTACCTGGCGGTGCAACCCACGCCCAGCGCGCCGCCGCCGCTGGCGCCGGTGGCGGCGCCCGCGCTGGCGCTGCCCGCGCTGGCCGCGCCGCCCGCGCCGCCCGCGCCCGCCGCCGGCCACCAGGTAATATATTATTATTAGGAGCGCGTCGACAGGCCCTTTAATTCTACTCGTCACATATTGTTTTTTTAGCGTGAACATATCTTGTGATGCCAATGCAGTAATTTGCGTTATCAATGTAAATAGAGCGATTTTTGACTAGAGATAAAATGTCTCAACTTTTCTGCACTGTCTTACAATCCTTAATTGTATAAAATTTGACTTTTAATTGGTATTGGTAAGATATATTCACGTTTATGACTTTATTTTGCCTTTTGTGACGACGATCAAGGTTGAATTATTATCGGTAATTACGTAATTGTGTCAGAATTACCAGCTTCATGTAGAGTCTGCACACATTTGATATAAGAGCCTTAGAATAATATAATCTGAATGTTGAGAATATTATTCAATGAACAGATTAAAAATTCACTTTACACATATGCATTTGTTAATTTATATGTATTTATGTTTTTTTATATATGAAATCTCGACAAGCAAATAAGTGAAAACTCAAATGCAAGATAATTAATAATATTAATTTTTATGATAAATGTTTGACCGTTTTTCATTTTTACTTAAGTGTTGCCTGAACCTTGATAATATAATAATAGTAATATAATTGAGGATGAGATGAGCTATTTCATACATGAACCTTAAATTCCAAATATTGTGTCCATAATTACTTTAACTGAAGTAATTACGATAAAAAAAATAGCTAAAACTATTTGTGGTATTTGTATATTTCTTCATCATGATAAATACTAGATATAGACCTGTCAATAGGTGAATCAATCTCCATAAAATAAGCAATTTCCGCGATAATGCCATGCGATGAAGGGTCTTAGTTGAGGGTTGTCCGTGAGCGGGAGGCGCTGGCGCCACTATCGCGCAAAACGCGTTTTATTCAATATCTTCAGAATAGCTCATATTACTTAATAGAAATATTTTCTCTTTCAAATTAAATTTCCTATCTTTTTTATTTACGTTTCTTTCTAAAATTTTATTTCTATAATATTCTACTTTTGAATAGGCCAAGAATAAATTATAACGACTTATAAAGGCAGTATTCAACTACTGTTGAGTTGAAGTGTGAATCTAAAATGTTGTAATACATCAGATTTTTTGTATATTTGGTTGAGTTGCCTGATAAGTGATAACCTTATACTTACTATATCACTGTATTAGAGCCGAATCTGCCTTGTTGGTCGAGTGTTAGTATGTAAGACTGCAGATCCAGAGATCGTGGGTTCGAGTCCCGCTTTCGGCCTAATATAGTTCTTGGGATTTTCTGTCAGTCTTTTAGTACCAGCCCAAAATTGGGTAGTCGATAGTTGACCGTGCCTCGGTCGTGTCGAAGTGTTTTCCCGCCGGAGTTGTAAGTGTGAAAGCAATAGTGAGTGCATTTCTATCGGCGCGCATACGGCATACTTCTGCATTACGACATCTACTTAGCTAGCTAGTGTCAGTGAGAGTGGCCAAACTCGGTAGTGGAAATCGACCAGGACGTCGTTATTATTATTATTAATATTATGTACCTTATACTTACTAGATCTTTAATGAACTTCTTACCATTACGCATTCTATGATTTAATATATTTTTTACTTGGTTGCTTGTCTGGATTGCTAAGAATTCTTTTGAAATTAAACAATTTTACAATAGAACATTAAAGCTTGGTTGTATTTTAATTTGTAATTAATTATTTAAATAATGTAAACCGTATTGTGGTAAGACTGGATATTTTAATATGCAGCAATAACATTAATATATAATTACTGTATTCACCAAAGATTTGTATATTGGTTATACTAATAAGTGCGTAATATTCTGAGATTTACTCGCAACAGTTATAGAATAGGGACGTCAGTATTATCTTGTAATATAGTAGTTGATAGTAATTGTAACACTTTTATACACGACTTGTAACAGTGACTTATATATAATAAATCTATGGAGACGCACAATTCAATTATATTTTTTCGTATTCGCATTATATCTATATTCAATAATGTTTGTTAGTTCTACGTTTTTTTAATAAGATCCTTCATTATGTCTAAGATCTTTTCATGAAATTGGGACGTAACTAAGGCAAGATTTGGACTGTTTCAGTTTATGTATTTTTCGTATAAAATAATAATAATAAAATATTTTGCCCTCATTGTCTCTACGATTTGGTAGAATGACTATATTTTGTAGTGTAACAAGTTAATTTTTTTTTTCAGAACATATATGCCTCTCGGTTTTATTTTTTTCTTTTCGTATCTAAACCTGGTAAAATTTTTGATGTTGATTCTTTATTCTTATCATTTATTTACTATTATTATTTTATAACGCTTGGTCAATGGGTAATCCCGGGAGGCTATATGAAGTATATTGTAAAAACTATTTTAAAATATTTTTCGATTTCATAAAGTTTCCCATCTAAAATTTTTATTTCGCGCTCATTTCATGCCAAATATTCAATTATGTATAAATTATGAATATTTATAGTCAAATTCCTAGAACTTACTCTTCGTTGTGAGCAGATCGAAACTGTGTACATTTTCAATACATGGTTATCTAAATCTATTATATTAATCTACAATTTTTTAGGTAAAGTTTGACTCATCAGAAATTTGTGACGCTCGCAGCTGGAGAAAGTTCGTTATGTGACTGATAAATTAAGTGTTTCTATTTCTTTATAAGATGTCTAGTAAAATGGCTAGGAAATACTTTTAATATTAAATACATGAGTACAATTATATAATTTGCAAATGGCTATAATATTTTGACGACTATTGCCGTAACAGTAAAACAAATGCTATGAATGATATTTAAATATAATCATATTGTAGAAGTATTTCTGCAACCGGTAAATGGTATTGCTCATACACCACCTGTCTATTATATGTATGTAATCGTAACAACTCTTGACAGTAACATGATTGGGTAGTGCAATATGATATTAAAATAAAATTTTCAAATAGTTTTTGACTTTTATTTAATCAAGACCTTTTATCGTTTACGTACATTTATTTTACTCCTTATTTATCTATTTGTTGTTTTGTGGGGGTGTATGGGCAATCGTTAACTTACGTCTTTTTCTTAATCAGTTTATAATAACATTTATTCAATAACTGTTTTAAGTAATAAAAACAATGTACAAAATATTGTAGCTGTTATTAAATTGTATATTTGTACTTATATATTCCCACAAACAGTTATTTTTTTTTTAAATTTTATTTCATACAGTTTTTAGTACATTTATTTTTACTTTTTATTTTTGCATGTCTTAAGTGATGTATTATTTTTGTTTTTCCTTTTAGGATAGTACAGCAGAGGATAAAATAAAACGACAACCTTTATTTAATGGTGAAGACCATGTTTCCGAAGCAGTGAGCCATAAAGAGGCCGTGCCTTCTAAACCGGAGGATATACCAGGAAATAATACTAAAACCGATATAGTTAATTCAGGTCACGAAGGACCGCAGAGTAATAAGTTCGTTCTCACTCCTGACTATATACAGCAAAGTGAGTACTTTTATAAACATTTATACTATATATTACATACAGGTTGTATTTGCATTATTCTTCTTGTTCTAAGCGAAGTAGATTACTTTTAAATGGGTTGTGTTATTTTCAGCAATTAAAAGCGCATTGAAGCAGGAGAATCTCAATCCTGAAATAGAGGAGAAATTGTTACAACTGCAGCGCTACCAGGAGAAGCAGATGAAGCCGGAGGCGCAGGCGCAGGCGCCGGTGGAGCGCGAGGTGCGCGCGCCGCCCGCGCGCTCGCCCTCGCCGCCGCGCCGCCGCGGCCTCTCGCGCCACGAAGACGACGACGAGTGGGTGGAGATCAGTCCGCGCAAGCGCTCGCGCGCCGCCCGCCCGCCCACGCCGCCCTCGCCCGCCCCCGCGCCCGCGCCCGCCCCCGCCGCGCCCGCGCCGCCGCGCGCCGCGCCGCGCGCGCCCGTCCCCGCCTCCGCCGCCCCCGCAGCCACCCCCGCGCCCTCCGACGAGCGCCGCCGCGCCGCCTCCACGCACTCCCGCCTCCTCCTGCTCTTCAAGCACAAAGAAATGCTTAAAAAAGACATCATCAAAAAGAGAGGTCTACTTGAAAAGGAACTCGGTGTCGAAATACAGGTCAGCAGTGTTCATATCTTGATATGTTCATTATCTTTTTTATTTCTTTAATTTAAAATTTGAAAATAAATTATTTATCAGTAAAACTTTTTTGACTTTCTAGTCCCTAGTGGGATTATAGCGTGTTACCTTTAACTTTTTTATTGCGTTAGAAAGTATTGGTTTATATTAACGTTGCACGTGCAAGCAACAAGCTTTTTAGCTAAAATATAAAGGCTGATAGTTTTTAATATAGTAATATTTCTTAACTGATAGAAAGAGCTATCAGCGGAGCTAGCGCTGCGCACGCGCGCCGAGCGCAGCAAGCAGGAGGAGGTGCGCGGCAAGCGGGCGCCCAGGAACAACAAGAAAGGCTCCAAGAAGGAGAAACTCCTCTGCATATGTCGCACACCCTATGATAATACAAAGTTAGTATGAATGAAGTATAGGCGGAAATCATTCAATACAGACAAAATATCTCGTTATCTTTTTGTGCGTTGCGGAAGTCGAAATTTGTGTTGACCTCAAGTATAAATATAAATTATAAATTTATAACTGTTATGCTTTTTCATTATAAAGGATGATGTTTTGCTATTATATTGATATAAATAATGTTACGGTTAACGGTAATAAATTTATAACACAACCGACACAGATTCTACGTGGGCTGCGAGCACTGCAGCAACTGGTTCCACGGCGACTGCGTCGGCGTCACGGAGGAGATGAGCAAGACCATGGAGGAGTACGTGTGCTCCGAGTGCCGCCGCGCCGAGGAGACGCAGGAGCTGTACTGTCTGTGTCGGCAGCCCTATGACAATTCCCAGTATGCGCTATTATTATTTTTGCTATCTATACATTTTTATATTTTTTATAATAATTCTTTATTCAATGTTTTATTTATTGTATGCGAAAATTTGTTAAATAAGTGTCTTCCTCATTTGCAGATTTTATATTTGCTGCGACAGATGTCAAGACTGGTTCCACGGAAGATGCGTCGGTATCCTTCAATCGGAAGCTGACAATATCGATGAATATATTTGTCCGAACTGTCAAAAAAATAACTCTGTTAATTATGCAAATATGAAAGAGCTAACAGTAAAAGATTTTGAAAATCTTAAAAGGCTCGTCAAACAGATACAATTACATAAAAATGCTTGGCCTTTTATGGAGCCTGTTGATCCTCGCGAAGCTCCCACCTATTATAAAGTAATAAAGGAACCAATGGGTGAGTCCTCGTGTTACAAATTCTTTCCAACATACATGATTGTATAAACGACTAACATATTTTTTTAAATTGCTGTGTATAGATTTATAATTTTACTAGTTTTTGCCCGCGACTCTGCTAACGCGATAAGTACCTACTACCTACTATATTAATAAATTGGTCAATATTAATAAGTCTATGGGTTAATCTTAGATAGAAGCTAAAACCATAAGGAATTTCATACAAATCTGTTGGGCCTTCACACCATGAGTAATGAAAAAACAGTCATATTACACAAGCGCACTGATAAATATCATGTCTACTTCATATAATCAATATCTCACGTGTGATCGAGTATAATGTTAGGACAGTGCGACGTTGGAGTATTAGGAAGAAGATAGTAGAGTAAGGAAAGAATGTAAAGATGATAAAATAATAAAATTGCTAGAAGTAAAATATATAATTTTTGTATATGAATAATTGCAAAGTTTAGTGTAAAGAATTAATATTTAAATAGACGTCCCTGTCTCAAATGTATATTCTATTACTTTTATATTTGATTTCAGATCTGCAGACTGTGGAAAGAAAAGTGAACGAACAAACTTATAGTATGTTGAGTGAGTTTATTGGTGATATGACTAAAATATTTGACAATTGTCGTTACTTTAATCCTAAAGACTCTGAGTTCTATCGGTGTGCGGACGGATTAGAAGCGTTCTTTGCGCAAAAAATTAAATACTTTCGTGAAAAGTTATTTGAATCAACACAATGATTAAGTGTCAGTGTATAATGAATTATATCGAACGAAAACCGTGAACTACTTTAAAAAGGTTAAGTTTGGTTAAGACATACGATTAAGCTACTTTGATCTGCATAACACTTGTAAATTGTAAAATGTAAAGTATGTGATGAAAATTTCAAAGAATAATTATTTGTATAAAATATCGCTGGAGATATTGATTGTGTCAGTCAGCTTATTTCATGTTAAGTATTTATTGTATTTATTAATGCTTTACATTCATAATCTACATTGAAGCTGACACTCATTCAAAATAACGCTCTTAAGAGAGAATGGAATATATATAGTTTTGTGAAAAAATATTGTACTAGCTGATATGACTTAGCTATTTTAGTTTAAATTTAGTGTTTAGCTTAAGTAAACCTTATTGTATTGTAAGAAATAAATTTTATAATATAAATCTAAAAATATTTTATAATTAATAGTCCCTTTACTACTTATTTTAATCAATATTTTTTTCATATCTCGTTGGAAAAAATAAATCTACGCATATATTTTATATACCTAATTGTAATGATGCAGTTTGTTCGGAGAATCTGTCATATGCAGTGGAATCCTATGGACGACCAAAAAAATCTTAAGACGTGGTCCGTTTTGCCTTTAGGTTAGGGAACTCTAGAAATGTAGGCGTGAGTATCAAAATGTGTGTGAAATGAAATTATACGTTTATTTAATGACATGTATTGCTATCTCAAAAGTAGGTCAAGTGCCAAGTAAAATTCGGTGTAAGAGCACACAGTTTTTATTATTTTATACAGAGTCTGAGTATCGCCTCAAACGACATTACAAAAGAGAATGACGCATTATTTAAAAGTCATGAAACAAAATACAACGCTGCTCCCGCCCTTTTTCCACTCAAGATAACAACGTCAGAAAACTCAAGTATTTTATATCAGAACTAGCAATGCCCGAGCTCCGCCCGCGTTCAGATGACCAAAAACCAAATTCTTAGGTTTTACATATTAGTATACTCTTACATTGCAGTTTTTGTATTTTTCTTCAGAAATTAAACATTTTCCCGCGGTAAAAAGTATCCTATAGTTAGAGGCCGAATCTACAGTTTTTAGAATTTGTGTCTGTCTCTCTGTTACCGCATCACCGAAAAACCACTGGACATATTTTGATGAAATTTGGTATGATGATAGCTGGTTACCTGAGTCAACATATAGGATACTTTTTACTTAAAGAAAATATATCTAAAAAAATCTGTACTAACCGTTAAAACGTCCTAGGAACGAACCCGAGCGGAGCGAGGCCTTATTGCTAGTCGTACTATAAAATGATGCCAACTTTTTATATGATAGAAAACAAAAATCTGTACATATTCTGATAGGTATATAAGATTAAGGTATCTAAAGTTTTACCTAATTTTAGTCTAATCCGCCATTCATTGTCTCTCAAGTTGGTGGAAATTGCTCAACTTGTGCCAGCAGCTCAACCGCAGTGAGATGACATTTTTCATTAGGGGATGTTATTTTATCATTACTAATAATTAATAAGTAAAACAATGAAATTAATATTATAATTTATTCAAGTACTAATCTTTGTATATATTTAAATATAAAGTGTATTAACAAAATTACACAAGGATGTTAAAATTTAAGTAGCTACTTAATGGCACCAGTTATAACTGTATTTTAACAATAATGTTCAGCATTAATTCATTATGAATCATAACATAGTCATTCGCATTTTTCCATAATAAAGGAATATTCCATATAAAAATTAAAACACGCCTACTAAAAATTGGTGCACACTATTTCTAAATTTGAAGAGAACAAGAATTATCCTAATTGTAAATACTTATTGCTATTTTTGTAAAGTATTTCATTTGAAATAAAAATAGATCACAGTTTTATAACGAGTTGTGCCGACGAGCGCGCCAAAAATGCATGCTTCATATGAACATCATTATTCCTATTATTTACACCAATTAATAGGAGATTACTTTCTAAAACTATCAGTCAATTGTAAGTTCTTATGTGTAGACACTTACAAAATATTTAAATTTTTAAATAAGTATTTTTTAAAAAAAATGTACTAAATAATACAACTATAAAAAACTTCATATGTATTTAGTAAATTACAAGCTGCATCAGTATTCATTCAAGGTATAAACAAAATACTCCATTACGATTCATCAAAGTTTACAAATATATTGTTCAAAGTTCATGATTTATCACAAAGAAATTATTTTTTATTGATTTGAAAAATATGAAAACATCACTCAAATAGTAATTAATATATTTTAATGCAAAGGAATGTGCATCAAATGTAAGCAAAAACCTTATTTTCACACATTTAGAAATCGTTCTAAACAAGGCTATATAATATACGTTATATCATCATTTTGTAAAATATCTCGATAATTATAAGTTATATTTAAAACGTGGGAAGTTCGTAAGTACAATATATTTTCCTAATACATATAAATGCTATACTATACTAAATAGTGGAATGATATTAAAAGAAATCTTCAGGTTTTACATAGAGATGTTTTATAGGTATAAGTATTTTTATTAGAGTCAAAAATCGCAAATTGGAATTTTTAATGAGTGTAGTTCATAAGTGCTTAGTAATCATTACTTTAGAAAAATGTCAAATATTTTAAATATTACATGTAAATTGTTCCGTAGTAACTTACAAAGTGCAGTTATAAAATAGTTTGCGAGATCACACCAATTTACGGTAAAATATATTTTATATGTCATAACCTTTATTCGCTTACACGTAATTAAAACTAAACTGTAGTCAAAGTATTATTTGAATTAATCTAATTCTACAAAATTTGTATCATCATACCTAGCGTCCATAAGTTAGCTAATAATAATACTCAACGATCTGATATGTACAAGTGAAATTTTAGAAACGATCGAGGCGGCAGTGTTATGCTACATTTACACGTTTGCCGAGGCTTGGCAAACGTCTACAAGCATTTGCACGCTTGCGAGTGCATTAGTGTGTTCCGGACAGGCTGTGCAAGCGTGGACGTTGAAATTGTGTCGACTATTGCGTTCGGCTTGACATATTTTTAACTATACATATAATAAAATTGTAACTAAGCTGAATCTGTACATTAAATATTTTTTATAAAATCTTATTGATATAGACATTATGAGCTCGATTATGAGAGCGACACTAAACACGCACCAACGTGTAAATACGCCACAAGCGCTTGCCGCAAGCTTCTTTTAATCTGTATTCAAATACCGACACTAGCCCGGATCGTGACAAGCTCACGCAAGCCAGGCCCAACACGCTGTTCACACGCTTGTGTTTGTGGACGCTTGTCGAGACTTGCGAAGCGTGTAAATGTAGTGTTAGATGTGCAGCGCGGGCGCGGGCGCGGCGGGGCGCGGGGGCTCGTGTCATACGAAGGAGGAGAAGCCGGGCAGCGGCGCCCGCGAGCGCGCCATGTTGTTCATCACTATCTGGCCGCCGTTGAGGCTAACCACGGCGCTGCCCTCGGGCTCCGAGTCCGTGTAGCTGGAGTAGTTGCGCACCGGTCGCTGCCGCTTCCAGGACTGCCGCAGCGTGTCGTTCACGTTCGCGTAGTGGTTCACGAACGAGTGCGGCTCCGATCGCACACTCTCGTTTTCGCTTTCGGAATTCTAATAAAAATAAAATAATAATGTTGTTAATTTTTACATTCTTTAAATTTTTATATGAAACTAGATCTATGTTTAAAATGTTGGTATTCAATCAAATGTCTTGTACAGTTAGAAGATAAGCCAAGAATAGACACTACAAAGATTTCATAGACTAACACTGAGCATTACAAACAAGGTATGTATAAATATAAAATAGCGATTTCTTAGACAAAAATAACAAGTGACTATTTACACTAAATGTAGGTTTGAAAACGTGTAGATGTTCAATGTTAGTTAAGAATTACTTTATATGTAATTTTTTATTTTATCCAAATGTTTCTATTAAAAAATATTTCCTATATTATTTATTTTAATTGGTATTTATTAGGTAAATAATTTAAAGTTTTTCAAATGAATTTATACGTGACACTCTATTAATTGACTAACTTTGATGATCACTACACGTTTGCGTTTAGGAATCGCCGCGGCACCCTGGACTTACTGTTTGAGATTATATCCAGTTTTAATTGAATTTAACATTATAACTTTTGACTGTTTTGTATATTATTAATGACCGGGAGGAGCGACGAAACAACGCATGAAACTTGGGCACCTAAACCTCAACAGTGCTAGCCGGATTAAAGCGTGATATAGTAAATGCTAGTTAGATTTCAATCGGCATAGTTACCATGAGAGCTCCGATCGACCGTATTAGAGGGAAAGAAATAAGACGAGTTTAGTGACGTGTCAGTATTCAGACTACGCTGATTTTGATGGTGATCACCTGTGAGTCGGAAGAGCTTATCTCGGAGGGTTTCTCTGTGAGGGACGAGTCGTCTGGGTTCTCGTCGTACCCGCGCAGGCTCTCCTCGTCGCTGTGGTAGGCGACGGAGGCGGGCGAGGGCCGCGGCGGCGACTTGGCGAGCGCGGGCGGCTTGCGGCGCAGCGTGCCGGCACCGCCGCCGCCCGCGCTCGCCGCCGAGTTCTGCCGCGAGCGGTACAGCTCCAGCGCCAGCGACCCGCGCTCGTCCGTCTCGCCCGCGAGCGACTCCTCTAGTGTCTTCTGCGCTTCTTCTGTTCATTAAAACATTGTTATTTATTACAATACATACGCTTTAACGGTTAGTATGAAATACAAATCTTTATATTTCTCGGCTTTTATGTACTATAATATGCATGTATTATACATGCAAACCTTTCTCTTGAATCACTCTATCTATTAAATAAAACCGCATCAAAACCCGTTGCGTAGTTTTAAAGATCTAAGCATACATAGGTACAGATAGACAGCGGGAAGCGACTTTTATACTATGTAGTGATAGTTCGTACGACCGCGGGCTACACTAAAGTATATTTTGTATTTTGTAACACATTTGAGTACATAAAACGCTACTTGATATATATTAAGAAGTAGTGACTCTACATGCGTACTTTCGTCAAATGCCCTTCGTGTTTATATTGTTAGGCAGTTCTAAAAAATGACCTGTAGTTTATAGGAATGTTACCGGTAGCTTATTTTCGCAATATATTTCTAAACTAGCGTCTTACCCTAGCTTCGCTCGAATGCGTCTCTATGTATGGGGATTTGGTTCACAATGTCATGGGTTTTAAATTTTTGCGCAGAACCGTAACTCTTATTCTAAAATAAAAGTAGCCTGAATTACTCCTTTTATCATCAGTTATGTGCCAGTGAGTCCCATCAAAATCGATCCAACCGTTTCGGTGATTAGCCGGAACAAACAGACAGACAAAAATTTAAAAAATTGCAGTTTTCTTATACGTATCGTATATTTAATCAGTACAGTATTTTCTGAGATTAGCTCGAACAAACACAAATTCAGCGCAGCGGGGGAATTTAATTTATAATATTTAGTTATTTAATATAGTGCACACAATAAACTTCAGAGTTTTACAATTATTGCTTTAAACATGTAAAAAGAAAGCTCTGATTCGGTCTTTATATTAAATATTAAACTAGTAACATTTTTATACTAAATATTTAAAAATGTATTGAAATATTTTAATAAAAAAATATATACATTATTTTCCTAAAAAACTTACTTTTATATTTATAGCTTTTGCTCTTCACGCACAATATAGCTATGACCATAATTATGATGATGATGGAGGCGGCGGCGAGAGCGACCATGAACCACGTCCTCCGGTAGAAAGGCCGGTACTGCAGGTAGCCGTACTCCAGGTACAGTTTTGATGGTGTCACTATAGTTTTGTCGCTGTTGGCAGGGTTACTGATGCCGTACATGTTATATGCGATGACTCTAAAGGAGTATGCTGTAGATGGAAGCAAGCTCTGATATGAAATGGTAAACTCTTCCAAAATTCCATTACTCGTTCTAGTGATTGTTTCCCATCGCGTGTCATCTGTGACAAAAATAAGAATTTAAAATAAGATGCGACCTGGAGAAATTGCATGAAAAGTTTTATTTTTAAATTTAACAGATACTGAATTGAAATGCTTAAAATTTATAACTTATTTTGATCATTATTGCTTATTACATTTCTATTTTGAGGTCAAAATTCCTCTAGAGATTATTTGAATTATAAATATTTAAACAAAACTTGAAAAATATAATATATATAGCAACTAGATATCTTTCAACACTTACAGGTTTGCCATGTTTCCTTGGCTGCACGAAAAGTAACATACTTCTTATAATCAAGTAAAATCATAACATAATTAAGTTTGATAATTATACATACCAGCTTCTGGGTAATTTTTCGATAAAATTAATATACATATTAATATTTCAAACTACAGCATTAAATCTGTACTTAATAAATTTGAGAAATCCATGAATGTTACAAATAAAAACTTTTTAACAAAAAAATAAAAACCGACTTCAAACAAAAGCACTAAAAAGTAAAAAATAACTGATTGGTAGTTTTCATTTACTATACATACCTAATCAAATATTTTCGAAGTCGGTGTGCTTTGCTTTGTATGGGCTGGCACCGATTTCGAAAATATTTGATTAGGTATGTATTTAATAGGTAGGCTCTAATTACTTAGCCAAAGCACACCGACTTCGAAAATATTTGATTAGGTATGTATAGTAAATGAAACTACCAATCAGTTATTTTTTACTTTTTAGTGCTTTTGTTTGAAGTCGGTTTTTATTTTTTTGTTAAAAAGTTTTTATTTTTCCCTTTTTAGTGTAGACAGTAGTAGAAAAGTAAGGATTCTAACGTGTTAGGCTTGTCAAATCAAACAAAATAAGCCCAAACTCAAAGTATCTACTATTAGCCGTTGAAGAGTTCCACCTATCCACTTTCTGGCCTTGCCATCAGATCAGGTCAACAACACCGAACCACTGTACTATCAACGGAAATAGAAATACTTGCAAAGTTTCAAGTCAATATGACAATTAGAAGTAGGTTAAATTTATCATTAGTAGTTTTTCCACCCTTAGGGGTGGTATTTTTTTTTGAAATTTAAATGGGACCAATCTGGAAGTATACCCTTTCAAACGACACAAAAATTGTCCAAATCGGTTTAGAAATGACGGAGTTCTAAGGTAACAAACATAAAAAAAAAAAACTTTATTTCAATATGATTCCCGATACAGTTTTTCTTTCTGATCAAATTGCTCACACAGGCAAAGATATATGTCGTCTGTTTAATGATCATTTTAATTCTGTTTATGAGCCTGCCACTTCAGACACACCTGTCAGATTGAAGACTAATTCGGTAAATCATGTAAGTATTGAGTCCATCAATATATCCATTGGTAAAGTAAAAAAATATCTGAAAACACTTAAAGTTGATAAAGGTTCTGGTCCTGATAATTTACCTCCCATATTTTTAAAATCTTGTTGTGAGTCCTTGTCCTACCCTATTTACATTCTATTTAACGAGTCCCTTAAGTCAGGTATTTTACCTTCGATATGGAAACGTTCTTACGTTGTCCCTGTATTTAAATCTGGCAATAAATGTGATGTACGGAATTACAGACCTATTTCCAAATTATGTATCTTGGCCAAAGTTTTTGAAAAAATTATTTATGATGAGCTATTCCCTCTAGTTAGACCAATTATAATTGATAATCAGCATGGCTTTATTAGTAAAAGATCCACTGAAACCAATGTATGTGAACTGATACATCGTGTTTCTTCGTTTATGGATGCAGGATATCAGGTAGACGTTGTTTATACCGATTACTCGAAAGCGTTCGATAAAATATCGCACAAGATTCTACTTCGTAAGCTGGAAGTCTTTGGTATACATGGCGATCTGCTCCGCTGGCTTAGTTCATATCTTCATAATCGAAGTCAGGCAGTTACTGTAAAGGGGCACTGTTCAACTTTTCTCCCCGTTTCATCAGGTGTGCCTCAAGGCTCCCATCTTGGTCCCCTCTTATTCAACTTGTACATCAATGATATTTGTGAAGTTATAAGGCATTCTACGGTTCTTTTATTTGCAGATGATATGAAACTATGCAGAAAAATCTCTTCTATTGCTGATTGCTCCCTTTTGCAGGAAGACCTAGATAGACTCTGTGAATATTGTAAGGATAACTCTCTACAGTTGAATGTGGAAAAATGCAGTGTTATGTCTTTCACTAGAAAAACCCACAGCGTCCTTTATGAATACCATTTGGGTGGCGATACTGTTTCCCGAGTTATTGAAGTTAGAGATTTGGGTATTTACTTGGACAGTAAGTTGACTTTTGTACCCCATATGAACCGATCTGTTGCTAAGGCTTATAAGATGCTTGGCTTCATCATGCGAATCGGGAAAGACTTTAAAAGTCCCGCTACGCTAGTTCTTCTTTATAACTCATTTGTACTTCCCATACTTGACTACGGGTCTTTAGTGTGGAACCCCCATTACAAGGTCCATAGTGAAAACCTTGAGAGAGTTCAAAAGAAATTCATAAAATACTTAAACTATAGGTGCTATTCATTAGCCGACAGTCAGACACATTTTGAGTATAAATATCTATCATTGGCCAACCGTCGGTTACTGAGAGAACAGTTATTTTTGTTTAAATTAGTCAATAATATTATTGATTCCCCTTACCTACTGAGTCAAATTAATTTTAGATGTCCTAGATTATCTTCTCGAAGTAAGTTGTTTTTTGATCCACAATTAACACGTACGAAATCTGCTCAAAATTCGTTTATTAATCGAGCATGTTATAATTATAATCATAAATTTAGTAACATAGATTTATTTAATTATAAAGATGTTTACATTGTTAAGAAAGTGTTTTTAAAATCTTTAATATCTCTATCATAACCTTAAGTCGTTTTTAAAATTGCCTATTCATATTATGTTTTTTTTATTATTGTTTTATTATGTTCTGTTAGAGTTTGAGTTTTGCTTTTTGTGTTTTTTTTTATTTTATAATTTGTTTTTTATTTTATTTTTTTGTAATTCTAACTTAGTCATTTTTATTGTTGTCATTTGTAGTGTTTTTGCAGTAACTTTTGTTAAAATTTTATTATATAGTTTTAATGTTTAAATTATTTATGTTTACTCTACCTGTGACATATTTATAGGTGGAAACTTTGCTGGTGTGTGGACTTTTTAGTTTTTTAATTAATTTTAAGAATTTTGTCACTGTTTGTTTCCCTAAAATAAATAAATAAATAAAACATACAGTCGAATTGAGAACCTCCTCCTTTTTGAAGTCGGTTGAAAATATTCATTGTCATTTCAGATCAATCCATAGAATATTTTGTTTGTCATTTACAATACTTAACTAAGTAGATTAATTATAAATAACAGGGCAATAACATTGATAACTGTAGTTAGAGGTTTATTAGTTCTGTTCATCAGCTAGAACACAGCACACATACAACTTCACGGTAGTGAGAGAGCAGAGAAGGGATGGATAATAAAATGTGAACCGAACCTTTCTTCATGGCCTCAAAGTAGTATCCGAGCAGGGGTCCCTTGCCGGAGGCGGCGTTCGTCCACTTGAGGTGCAGCGCGGCGGGGTCGGCGCGCAGGCGCAGCGCGGCGGGCGGCGCGGGCGAGCCGAGCTGCGGGCCAGTGCGCGCGCGCGCCTCCGCCGCCGCGCCCGCGCCCACCGTCAGCGCGCGCACGCTGAACCGGTACTCCACCTCCTCCTCCAGCGCGCCCACCGCCAGCCGCCGCTCCGTCACCTTCTGCTTCACTTGCTTGCTGAACCCTGGTTAATATTATTTGGCCATTGTTAGAATTCATCATTTTGGAAGTGAACAGATTACAACTGTGTATGTGTAGCTTGATAGAGGTAAATTATCCAATGTAGTTAGCTTTCATTTTAAAAAACGGTTTCAATTTTCGACAACAAAGAAGTTTTTTTTTCTTTATCCTGCTCAACGCAACAATCTGTTTTTAGACATTTAGCTGTTCCTTTGTTCGAAGTTATTTTGTCTATGTCTATTTTCGAAACAAAAAGTAAAAAACCTAATAATACAGTTTTAGTTTTTTTCCAAATCCGTTTTGTCGAACCGATTTTGCTTTCCTCTATTATTTTTATCATCTACTACTTACATTCATCATGAATAGCATTTTTTGTATTGATTTACATTTAATACTAAATTCGAAAAAGACAAACAAAACCCAAATATTCAGAGACACTCACGTTCATCCTGCTCTATGGTCTCGTACGTGACAAGATAAGAGTGTATGAGACCGTTGCGACGGTGCGGCGGCTCCCACGACACTATAAGGCTGTTCATAGTGATGTCGGAGAAGGTGATGTTGCGCGGCGCCGAGGGCAGGCCCTGGTGCGTGCGAACCAGGATCGCGTTAGAGCGGGGCCCGTCCCCGGCCGGGTTGAAAGCTAACACCTGTGTTGTTGAGTCATTAATATAGATATAGAGCAATATTTATACAGTAATTAATGTTACCATTCCAAAGATAGGATGATGACATTAGGGCTGTGGCAGGCGGCACATACACCAGACTAGCTAGAAATTAGACGCTTATGGAGGAAATTGGAGGAGGCCTTTGCCAACAAAGGGCAAACAGACAAGGTTGTCAAGGCAGAGTAATCTTGTAAAAAAAAAGTAAAAATATAGAATAAGTAAAATGCAATCAAATATGTATCTTAAGTAATCTGTCATACATATATAAAAAGAAATCAATTGATTATAGTTTGTAATCTTTATTGTAAACCATGTCTGAATTAAGGCCTATATTATTATTATTGATGTTATAAAATTGTTACATTTATTGTAATACTAGCGATTACATTACCCTCGATATCTTTGGGTGAGTCAGCGGTGCCTAATAGTAGTCTGTGCTATTCCATAATTTATCTGTGTATTATACTTCATCCGAATATGTCCAGCCATTTAATCGTGAAGCAGAAATAAATATACATATTTACATAAAAACTTTTACATGTATAATAGTTGTACGATATTGATAACTTTTAAGTTTACGTGAATATTTCACATTTTAAAATAAGACTAAAATTTCGGTTTCTGTCGCGGTTTTATTTTATATTTTGGTTTCCGGCGTTTAAATAAATATAAATGTATAAAATAAAGCAGCGATAAAACTCAAAAGATACCTATTTTTTGGGATATTAAATAAAATATGAAAAACATACCTGAATACGATACTGTGTAAATTTGTCGAGGAATACTAATGAGTGGGAGGTCGCGGTGGCAGGCACGACTTCGATCTCTTCTTCAGCACGGCGCCCTGGCTCCGGTTCTTCAGGCGATTCCGTCATCAAGTAGAATATCTGAGAAAATAATTTAGTAAATATATTTTTAATAATTATATAACAGATGTAAAATGTACAGAACTTCATAATCAAAACTATATGCAGTGATGTACCCCGTCTAATGGTCTACTCCACAAACGTCCATATAAAAATCAAAATTGGGTCTAACCATTTGCTTCTCTTTATAAAGTCCAACGAAGAGCAAAACAAGAAAACTTACATTATTACAAAACAATCATGGAACGCAATCTACGTAGTTAAATCATTTTGCCACTTGGTGGCCCCTCGATCTACGTAATATATGGTTACTTATCTGTGCTCTTCTTGTACGTGTATCGCCTTTGGATTGAGATCATTGAGATAATAAAACTAAATATTCTTATATAATTTTTTTGCTTAAAATCCTACAATATGGCAACAAGTACTAACTACTAACCTTATACCCGAGCAAGTCGCCATTCTGCTGCGCCAGATGCGGCGGGCTCCAGGAGAGCGCCACCTCGGTGGGCGAGAGCGCGCGCGCCTGCACGCCCTGCGGCGGCGCCGTGGGCACGGCCTCGCCCACCCACACCACGGCCGGCGCGCCCGCCGGCCCCGCGCCCTGCGAGTTCACCGCGCACACGCTGATCTCGTAATTGCGATCCACGGCCAGCTCCGTCAGCACTACTTCCTCACTCTGGAAATGTTTCATTATTAGATCGAAAATGTAAACAATGCTAGCGTCTGTACTGAAGCAAAGATTGGTATATTGATGTTCCTCATTCATCCGCGCAAAATAGGACACTACTACTTACAAGTGACGGTGTGTGCGTGACAGTTCACCGACAAGTTCAGTATGCGTTGCCCGTTGACAAAATCAATTTTATCCCGTTCGATTGTTGACAATGTAGGATAGACATCGCGTGTTGATTAAATTGTAAGAAAACCAGTTAAATTGTGTTTGAAAAAAAGTTCGGATAGGCTGGGACGGACGACTCGCTATATCTATCCAACCTTAAATCTGTGGCACACACGGTTGTATGGTAGCTTTCTCTCTATAAATATTTATTAACAGAACCGTTTTCGACTATGACTCGGAAGAGAACAACCTTAATCGAAAAACGCCGCAATAATAAAAATTAAAAAAATATCTGTTAACCTTAATCCCGGGCACCTCCTGCTTCATAGTGTGTTGAAGCGAGGCGGGGAAGTCCGTGAGGGGCTGGTAGCTGACGGCGTACCCGCCGGTGCGCGCGTCACCGCTCCAGTGCGCGTCGCCCAGCGCCGTCCACTGCACGCGCACGCTGCTGGGCGTGATCGGCACCACGCGCAGGTTCTCCACTGCCTTGCTGGGCGCTGGGGTATTAAATATTTTTGAAATGATAAGCGGTGATTACAGTTCACCCATTGACCGTTTTCGAAACTAAGGAATGGCATTTAAAGTATTCCATATGAGCCCTATTCATAATATTTATAGACTGAACTTGACTCATCCTCGCACCGCTCGGGTTCGTCTCTACGTTTTAACAGTTAGTATAGATTTCTCAGAGATGAGATATTTTCCCGCAGTAATATGTTATCCTAAACGTTGCCCCGGATAACCAGTTATCATCATACCAAATTTTATCAAAATCTGTCCTGTGGTTTTCTTTTAATCAGTGACCTTTAAGACGTCTAAAATCTAAATCCTAAGTTTCTCCCGTCATCATGATTGCTCAAAAATATACCCGACGTCGGGAGATAAATTCAAAATAAAATCCGCGAAAAAATTCAAAAGATAATTTTATTTAATATACTTAAAAACATACCTGCTGGCAAAGTGCGCACCGTATCCGTCGCGTTGCTATAACGACTGGGGCCGATATCATTGGTGGCTCGTATTCTAAACTGGTAAGCGGTGTACGGTTTGAGGCCTTCTACTGTATATGAAGTGGAGAAGGGATCTACTCTCTCAGGTAGAGTTTGCCATGTTCCACCATCTTCTTTTTGTTGAATAGTATAGTATCTGTTTTGTAAAAACAAAGTTTATCGTTAAGAAATCCAATTTAGTTGAGTTTAAAATCAATAGGAAGTTTTATGAAAATGCGTACTGAACAACTATAATTATCAATATGAAAGTTTGAACCGCACAACTATGGACCGACTGCTAAATCAGTATGGCCGACTAAATTATTAAGCCGTAAACCGAAATGATCGTCCGATAGTTCACTTCATCATCAGTCTATAAGAGCTTTTATAGTTTTGATATATGTACTATAATCTATACATCATATTATTTATCTACATATATACAATTGCTATACTTAACTGCCGATGTGGTTTAAGTAGCTAGCATGTACAGCTGCAGATCCAGAGGTCTTGGGTTCGAGTTCCGGGGTGGGTCAAGTACAGTTATTAAACTTAGTTATTAAGTAACAATCCGGAATTAGGAAATTGGCAGTATTTTGCTATAATGTCTTAGGGAGCACGAGAAGCCGTCGGTCGGTCCTGCGCTTAAAATTCACCGGTCGTATCTAATTGTCGTCCCTTGGAGTTTGAGAGAGAGCTTGAAGAAATATATATATCTCTTGTGCAGATGGCTAATCTCGGTCAGATTGGCTGTCGCGGCCGAAATCGTTCGGAAGGACATTATACATACATAATATGTATATTTAAATTATAGCAAGGTTTGATTCCCTTATACAAACTATCATCCCCATTTTCACCACATTAAGGGATAATTTCCGGGATAAAAAGTATCCTATGTACTTCCCAGGGTCTCAAACTATCTTCTAACTAAGTTTCATCTAGATCGGTTCAGTAGATCCAGACATTACCCCCTACAAACTCACAAACTTTACAGCTTTATAATATTAGTATAGATAATCTAGGCTGAGTAAGCAAGTAACCTGAGCGGCGCATATCCATCATCCCCGGGGGTCCAGGAGAAGGTGATGTGGTGCGGCTGCAGCAGCGAGCGCGCCACGTTGGGGCGCGCGGGCGGCGCGGGCGCGGCGCGGTTCACGGTGGTGAGCACGAGCGCGCGCAGCGTGGCGCCCCAGCCCACGCGCGTCTGCGCCGTCACCGAGAACAGGTAGTACTCCTCCGATGCTAGCTCTGTTGCCCTGGCAAATAATCGTAAACACTTAGTGTGGTAAGTAAGAATGGTAGCCCAGTGGTATCGTGCTCGATTGCGAAACCGTATAGAACGGTCTCGCACCTCTAATATTTTCATATATGAATCATTTTTAACATGATTACCACTTATGTTACGGTGATGGAAAACATCGTAAGGTAACCTGCACATAAGAGAATCTTGCTAGTTTTCGAAAGGCATGTGAAGTGTGAAGCTAACTGACACTTGGCATATACTGGACTATGGTATATGCCTGCTTGTAATAAAAGGAGGTCCGTGCCCAGGCGAGAGACGTTAAAAAAAGGCTAAATACACTTAGTAATGTTATAAATGCGACGTGCAGGTGTTGAGTTGTTCTTCTGTCACACAATATAAACTGAGATAATTTTAGAGGCGGAACGTGTCGTCCACACCTTTTATGATTTATCTCATATTACATAGAGTAATTGGTTCCAATTTCATATAAGAATGTTGCAAAAAAGTATGACATAAATGATAGTACTACGGACTATTATATTAATACAGCTGGGGGACATAATAAATTTACGATTTTTTTTAAGCGAAGGTGGCGTGTTAGAAGTATTGTTATGTTAATATGTATTTAAATAAAAATACAGAACCCTAAAAAAAGACTGATTACATAATAAAACATTGAATATGCACATTTTTAACAGAATAAGATTTTCAAAATAAATGAGCAGAACATTATATTATTAAAAGTAATAAATATCATCAGACATACCTAAATGTTCTATCTGAAGGTAAGAATTCTTTGGAGAACATGTGTTGCGTGGTCTTGTTGAGGTGGTACGTCACTTTGTACGCCAGTATTTCACCATTAGGATCCTCAGGCACGTCCCAGATGATCCGCGCCGTCGTAAACGTCACATCCGGGAATGACACGTTCGAGGGCGGACCGGGCGCTATACAAATCATTAAACAAATTTTTATTTGGCTTCAATATTTATCTTTTAATATAAGTTTAGTTTGCCGTTTAATAAGAAATAATTACATTATACATATATGTATTGTCAAATGTATTGGACTAAAATATTATCTTTCTTGATTTACACGAATATTTGACATTTTAAACTATCTCTTCAGACGTCTCATTTATTCCTCTGACCATGATTGCTGTAAAACTTTTGAAATGTCGAGAACCGAAAATTTAAATAAATCCGAAAAGATAGTTATCTTATCGAATATGATATCGAAACTAGACTAAACAAATATAACAGCAACATACTAAATTAGTGACTGTAAAATAAATACGTAATAAAAAAAATAAAGAGTCTATGAATGTATACACGCACAAGAAGTAAAACATCTGTAGGTTATCGGTACTCTTTATGAAATCCTATTTATGCTTAAAATAATTAGGATAGGTGAGTTACTATAAATAACGCATATTAAGCATATTACAATCTTAAATTTATAGAATATCATTAGAATAGAAAGAATATAATATTATAAATCATTTGTCAGACAATAACAACGGTTACCATGGCAACAAACGTACGTACATATTTCCGTAAGGCATTCACCAGCTTACCCCCCAAGTCAATCGTGCGTAAAGAAGTTTTACTTCAAAAATATAATGCTTATTATATTGTATTTACGAATGTAACTTACTATCTTCGAACGTCCTGACAGTAACTGGCGGGTCGCTGAGCGCGCCGTCCCCCAGCCGCGTGTAGCCGAGCACTTGTATCTGGTACACGACGTATTTCCTTAGCTCTGTCAACGTGACCGTGTGGGTTTGGTTTGAAGGTATAGGATGGCATTCCACTTTCTTTTGCTCTGGACGAGGAGGCGGCACCACTGCGGCGTAGCACACTTTATATCCTTCAATGAGTCCGTTCTGATCTTGGGGAGGTATTTGCCCCCACAGGACCACCACTGTCGTGGATGACGTCGCATTCGCTGACACATCTATTGGACCGCTCGACGGAACTGGAAAATATTGTTTCTAGTAGGATTTATAATCGCCTAGTATAATGATATCGTATATGGAAACAACAGATCTGTTAATTTTCTAAATAACCGTATCTATTTTGTGTTAACTTTATGACTTAATAAAACGCAAATTATTTAAAACTAGCGACTCACACCGCTTCGCTTCGGGTTCGTCCCTAGACAAAATAAATCTATCCCAAGAGAACCGTATATTTTCCGGGATAAAAAGCAATTATGTGCTATTCCAGACTATAATGTATCTCAGTGCCAAATATCATCCAGATGCATTCACCTGTTCTGACGTGAAAGAGTAACAAACAAACATCCATCCATCCTCACAAACTTTCACATTTATAATATTAGTAGGTTTAATATGGGATACAATTTTGATTATATAGTACTACCTGCTTCTCTCGTTCTCTCAGTAGCGACGGGGCTTAGAGCAGACGTACCGACTTCGTTTATGGCTGTCATTGTAATTTCATATATGGACCATTCTTCCAAGTTGGACAGCACGTGCGAGTTGGCAGTGTGGTCATCGATAACACTGTATAGAGTATCATTAGTGCCGCTTCGCTTGTATGTAATGTTATATCCTTTCGGATTACCGAACCATTCGCTTTGTTGGAGAGGCTGAAATTGATATACGCGTAAATAACCTTAACAATAGGATGAACATAATAACATTTTTTTCATGTAAAGCAAAATGTAGTTCCTTTCGTTTTTAATTTTCAGTTTATTTATGTTTAGGTTAACAAGCAATTTGTAACAAAAAAATATAAAAAATGTTTAAACGTTGTCAACTAATAAGATAACAATAGCTAACCTTAAAGTTTATTTAATTGTAATAATTTTACAAATCATTAGGATAAACAAAATAAGCGTATAAAAAACCATACAGTGGGCAATCGCCCATTGGCTGTATCGGTTTATTGCAAAAAGTAATCATTGTAGTACCATCTCGTAGCACGTTATAGTTATACACGTCAACCTAATAGCCGTGTACGCCTGTCATATAAAAGTATCTAGATGCCTAGACGCCTCCTGTCTGGACGCCTTCGTTAGACGACTGTTATAGGTATCAGAGGACTGTCAATTCTTACGATCCTACGATTACCTCACCTAGTTACCTTCATTAGACGAGTGTATGGACAAGTAGACAGTACCAATACTTACAATCCACCTGACCCTTAGATTGTTGGCGCTAACAGCGCGCACGGTGACGTTGCGCGGCGGGTGCTGCGGCGGCGCCTGGATGGTCTGGAACTCCTTGCAGGGCTCGGAGGGCGGCGACGAGCCCACCACGTTGCTGGCCACGAGCCGCAGCCGGTACGTGGTGAAGGGCACCAGCCCCGACACCAGGATGGACTGCGCGTCCGGCGCGCTCACTTCGTATATCGTAGACCAGGATGTGTTACGTGCCGTTTGAGCCTAATATGATATTAGAAAATTTATATTAATCTTAAAAATATGATATGGAAATCTATGACATCTTATTTATACTATAAATATTAGCGACTTATTCGTTCGGATGAGTTCCTTGCTCCCTACTCTTTGTATACTAATTGCGAAGAAGTAACTAACATACACGCACATACATACAATCTTTTGCTATTATAATAGTAGTCCGATTATGATTTGTAACAAATCATTTAAAAGATTATTTCTAACGATCGTTTAATCTCATCGAGGCTGACCGCCGTAACCTTACCTGTACCGTCCACAGCGAGATGGAGGAGTTGCCGTCGAAGCCGGGCGTGAACTGCAGCAGCACGGAGTGCGCGGCGATGTTGGAGAGCGCTAGGCCGCGCGGCGCGTGCGGCAGCACCGGCTCCACGCCCGACTGGATGGATGCAGCGCGCGCGCCGCCCTCGCCCACGCCCGTCAGCGCGCTCACCCAGAACTGGTACTGCGTGCTCGCCTGTACGTTTGTGCATGTGCAACGTAAGAAAAGGTTACGTAATTTTTTTTTTTTTTTAAACGTTGGGAAATGCATTTACGCACGACGTGTGGGACTCACCGGCGTAATACAGCCAGTACTACCCACTAAAACCCAACAAAACCTTCCCCCGTCTTAATGGGGCGTCGCAGGATCGCTTACGCATTCAACTACGACGCCCCGACGGTAGGTCTGCCGAAGCAGACCACCACAACCATGGGGTTGCTCCACAGTCCACTCTGCTATCAGAGAAGTACCAGGAGCAACCCACATGGTACACCGCCCCCCGAAGAGGGCCACCTCCCACCGCCCACCGAAGTGGGCAACCTCCCTGTGCGTTTCTTAGCTTCGCGCCCGGTTGGATTGCCGGGCACTACTGAGCCCCCCCACCACGACAAGGTGAACGCACGTTGGGGGGGACGTAATTTAGCTCAACTCAACTCAACGTAAGTAAATGAGGCCGCTTGCGAAACCACACGCTCCGAGCTGACCCGGAGCGGAATATCTTAGGATGTACCAGAACTGGTACCACGCTCGCTTGGAATACGTTTATGCAACGACATCTTTTACAACAGTTAGGAATAGGTCACAGCTGATTATTGGGTGAATATTAATTGGATGTACCGGAACTGGTACTGCGTGCTCGTTTGTGCAACAATATCTTGTATAACATTTGGGAGATTATAATTTTTGAAATGTACAAAACTAGCACTGCGAGCTTGTCTCTGACCCATTTATGTAAAAACAAAAAAAAATCACTGTAATAAGATTATAGCTGTATAGGTGAAGGAACACAGGTTAACTGACCCGGGCGAATAGTTGTAGGTTGTAGATGTCATTAGTACCGGACACTAACTTGTTTACGGGTTTTAACACTGTACAGTGTACACATTGATTGTTAAGGTAGTTAAGTTACGTTATACTCGTAATACATGCCAATAAATATTTTTATTGTTTTGTGTGTTTTGCTTTTGAAAGTTTAAAACAGTTTTATTTTTAAAATTTAACTACTGTGGCTAAAAAAAATAAATAAAAATAAAACTGTTTGTACCTAACACAAAAAATAGTTAATATAAAATAACAGAGAGTTTTTAAAATTAACATATAAGCAATCATCACCTGCAAATGCTCCACTCTGATGCTAGTGTCGTTTGGCGGCAATATTTCTTCCTTGAAACTTTCCGGATTATCCTTTATTTGATATTTTAACTTATAACCAATAAGTACACCGTTAGATTTTTTCGGCGGTGACCAAGACACTCTTACTGCTCTATCCGATACATCGTCAAATTGCAGATTTGTTACTTCATCGGGTACTAAAATAAAGTATATTGATACATATAATATTCAATTACTAAAAGAAAATATTTTAGTCCTAGTCTATTTGAATTCTAGCAGCAGAAAAAAGTTTTTTAGTTTTCTGTTACTGCAACTATCGATAATAATAATAAATTAGTGATATCTCAGTTAAAACTCAGTTTTAAAATTAAAAAGATAAAATATAAACTGTCTACTCACTATCCTCTTTCGTCCGTACGAGAACGAATTCACTTCGCGGCCCATCACCTGGTTCCGTAAAACATAATACTGAAATATTGTATTCCGTAAACTTTTCAAGACCATTGATAATCGACGTCTGTTCAGTAAGAGGATCTAATAGATTTGGCGGTACACTGATCAGTTTCTGCTCGATGCTGTCGTTCGCAGATTCATCCCAACGCCATGCTTGGATTTTGTAGCCCTGGTTTAAAATTACATTATCCATAACTTAAAATAGACCTAAGATAGATAGATAGAATAGATAGTTACCGCATCACGGAAAAACCACAGGAGCGATTTTGATCCCCCCAACGTGCGTTCACCTTGTCGTGGTGGGGGGGCTCAGTAGTACCCGGCAATCCAACTGGGCGCGAAGCTAAGAAACGCACAGGAAGGTTGCCCACTTCGGTGGGCGGTGGGAGGTGGCCCTCTTCGGGGGGCGGTGTACCATGTGGGTTGCTCCTGGTACTTCTCTGATAGCAGAGTGGACTGTGGAGCAACCCCATGGTTGTGGTGGTCTGCTTCGGCAGACCTGCCGTCGGGGCGTCGTAGTTGAATGCGTAAGCGATCCTGCGACGCCCCATTAAGACGGGGGAAGGTTTTGTTGGGTTTTAGTGGGTAGTACGGGCTGTATTACGCCGGTGAGTCCCACACGTCGTGCGTAAATGCATTTCCCAACGTTAAAAAAAAAGGAGCGATTTTGATGAAATTTGGTATCATGGTAGCTGTTTATCCGGGTCAACATATAGGATACTTTTTACTACGGGAAAATATTTCCTGTCTGAGAAATCTACACTAAACGTAAGGTAGGAACGAACCCGAGCGGAGCGAGGGTGAATTGCTAGTCCATAAATAAATACAATAAATAACTTCATATTATAAATCAAACCCCTCGCCACGCTGAGTTTATGTTTGTTTAGGCTAATCTCGGAACCGAAAGTACGGATTTTCATACTGTTTCTAGTTTTTACCAATAGAAAGATAGACAAGTTTATACAAGATGGTTTGTAGGTTATAATTTAACATGTTCCGACATTTATGTTACCGGTAAGATGATATTTATGTATTAAGTCGAAAAAATGGTCTTTTGTGACAAAATCCGTTAAAACATAAATGCGAAAGGTCTCAAAGGACGCTAGTACATATTTTCATACTGTTATAGTAAAATAGATTAATTAGGTCGTTTTGCGGCTTACATACCTGGTTGATACCATTTATTTTTTGAGGATTAGGAGGAGTCCACCACACTTGAACAGCAGTCGAATTGTAGGCTTCGCAACGTACGCTATCTGGTGCCGCTTCAGGCACACCCTCTTTGGTTTTTATCGTATAACTATCAGAGAACACGCCAACACCTTTATCATTATAAGCAGCAATTTGTACATTATAATCCTTCCAAGTTATCAAGTCCTGAATAAGATAATTCCTCTGTGCTTCGTTTGTTATGTTCTGGTGGGTCCATGGACTATTATCATATCCTTTAAGGCGATATCGAATGACGTAGCCTAGAATGTGACCATTTCTATGTTCTTCTAAAGGCGGTTGCCATTGCGTTATTATTTCGGAGGATGATCGCGCTGATCCCATAAAACCCAATGGAGGACCAGACGGAGCTATAAAATATATAAAGTAATTAAACTATTGTAACGAAAGTATACAATAATTACACTACGGGACTTAAATAAAATGAACTGAATGAATCGTAAGTGGCTAGATACCTTGTTCCCGGCGTTTCGACTGGGTTGCACCAGCCGCGGGCACGGGCAGACTGAGAGTGGGACAGAGTCTGCCCGTGACCGCGGCTGGTGCAACCCAATCGAAACGTCGGGAACAAGGTTACGAATTCACGCATTAAGTCCCGTAGTGTAATTATCATATAATTATGAAACGCGATATTTTAAAAAGTTATATTGTAATGAAAGTAATTTCATTTCTAATCTAAAGACGGTGGTTTAAATAGATCATGCGATATTTAATATTAATAAATAAAACTATACGCAGGCGTGTAAAGATTAACAATAATAATACTTTTGTAAGTAAAAAAAAAATTCATTCGATATAACATTCGATAAATTGATTCATGCAAACGTAATAAACATGAGGAAAAGTAACAAAAAGAATAATAACAAGATAAAGAGACGAAACAAGACTGCCGACATACATATTATATCAGAAGCAATAAAATTTAATCGTACAAAAATTATTCAACTGTTTAAGGTACCACATTTTTTACACTTCTGCATACCTTGGCAGCAAATTATGTCGCTGGCTGCTTGATCACAAAAAAAGAAAACAGATTGTATTTTTGTTTGTTTAACAATGAAAGTGAAATGATTTATACGTCCATTTTAGCAATTTTATTGTTAGTGCAAATGCCTATTTACATGATAATTTATTAATAAATTACTTAGAATTTGAATAGTTTAAAAAAAATATTTTTTATGTTACCTTCTTGCGGCAACGTTAGAACTTCGGTTGGGTCGGAAGGAGGTCCCTCTCCCACTGTGTTTACTGCAGAAACTCTAAACTGGTAGGAGGTGGCCGCCTTAAGACTTGTGAGTAGAACCCATCGCTGACTAGCAGATACGTTCATGGGCTCTGTTACCCAATTTAATAATGGATCTGGAGTGGGTCCTAGGGGGTAATTAAAAAATATTTATTCGCAACTCATTTGAAGCTTATATTTCACTTGCGATGTGTAGAGTAACAATGTTTGAATGTAGTAATTTAATACTCATATCTTATCATTTCATTGAATTTAGGGCGATGCGCTTTCAACTATACTTTCTAATACATTGTTCATTCATTCATAGGGAAGTTACAAAAGTTAACAAAAGATTGTTCACTCGAAAAGGCAGATAGAAGAAAACAATAGAAAGTCATAATCTCTATCTTCTCCCCAAAAAATATGCCTCATACAGGTTCTAAATAATCTTTACAAGTGCTTACCAAATTCGGGTACAACACGCCTTTGTACGATATACTTCTGCACAGGCGAGTTGCCATCGAAGCCTGGTGTCCACGAGACATTGACTGCTCGCTGGGGCGTCGCATCTAGTCGCTCAGCGCGGACATTAGTAGGGGAGAAGGGCAGTTCTATGACGGAGAGCAGCGCGCGGCGCGTGTGGTTGCCGCCCGGGGACGTCACCACACACGTGTACTCGCCCGCGTCGCTCGCGCGCACCGCTTGCACTTGCAACGCACCGTCGCCAGATACCCACACCCTCGAACCCGCTGTCATCGGTCTGGAATTTTTTTTAATTGGCAGACGAAAGAGTTTATGCGCATTAACTATAGTACGTAACCTCAAAAAGGTGAAAATGCAAAAGCAAAAGTTAGTACGAAAACTTTGATTAAGTTAATAAAGTTTTATTTACTTCAGCGTCGTGATGGTATTTAGTTGAAATATTAAAACGAAAGTAAAGTAAAACGCGTTTAGGACGGTAAGATTAAATTAGTGTAGAGGGCATGTAGCTTATTGATAATTTGCTGAAGTATAATACAATTATTAATAACATTTAATTAGCATGTAAACTTTCCATTTTTCTTATATAAACATAGTGTAAATTTAAAAGCAAAAGTAAAGGTAGCGATGCATTAAAATCGTGTAGCGTAAAGAGGTGTAACTTAATATATAGGATTTCTTACTGCTTATTGTGGAACCAGTCAATGTTATACTTGACATTCGGATCACTGGAAACTTTGCATTGCAACGTCGCCGTGTGACCCAGCAGTACTCGCGTGTCCACGGGTGGAGCAATTATTTGCGTTCTGACTGAAATTTAACATTAAATGTAACAAGAATATATTTAACAGCAAGCGTTAGTAAATAAATTGATAAAGAGGCAAAACTACATATGTAATAAGGTTTTAAACTATATTAATAAAATAATTTACATTAAAATATATCTTACCAAGTACTGTTAGATATGCTTCGCCTGAAACATTGCCCGCGTCATTCGCACGGACGCAAGTATATTTACCGCCATCAACCGTAGTCGTACTCGTAATTAGCAAGTCCCCCTCCTCTAAAGCTTGTAATCTTCCAGATAAATTTATTATAAGAGAATCTGAAATATTAAGACCGAAAAATATATTTTAATAACATGCAAAAATGACTTCTGTTAGTTGTTTGCTTTTAACTTTATGCGCAGCTTGAATTTTTAATAAGCATTCTCTTTTGTAGGTATATCTTATATAATGGACTTTAAAATTTAATATTTATTTAGCAGATAATAATTATAATGGTAATCATAATATTTTATATATAAATATTAATTATTGATTGTTATTTATATGTTATATATTGATTACTTATTGATTAATACTGTTTAGTGAACATTTTTGTGTATCACTTAATTTTAATCACCAATACCTACCTACATATGTCGTAGTAACCAATCTAAATTAATACATAATTATTAATAAAATATAATAAAAGATTATTTCTTATTCTGTGTTGCTACTTCGCCACAAGGCGATATAGCACGAAAATACGAAGCATGTATGTAGGATATTTTAAGTTTTTACATTAAACCAAACATCTTACATTTTGTACATACTAAAGTATAGTATATAAAAAATCATTAGTGTTTAAAAAACTAAACTAGCCTACAAAAGGGCTACAGTAGGTAACAATATTTACAGTTTCCGTTACATACCGTTAAAGTACCAGGTAACGTTGGGCGTAGGGGCTCCGATGGCGCGGCACGTGATGGTGGCGTCCTTGCCGTCGAGCACCGTGAGGTTGGCAGGCGCACTCTGCATTATGGGCGGAGACGCTACAAGCCACACACGCGCTTAGTACGAGCGCTACATTACTCTATATATACTAATTACTATCGGTCTATTCAGTGAAATTTACAAAATATACTACACGATCTAATAAACATATCTGGTGTAATTTTATAAATAAATAGTTATTTTTACTTTAAGCAATTATCAGTTATAATGCCTTTTATAAAATCGCGTGGCATATGTTAGTATTTACCTCACAGGAGGAATAAATCGCGTGTAAATATTTTTTACTTCTATTATAAAATATTATAAATAAAGACCGCATGCATTAAGTACCATTAAGTTTAAATAACAATAAATACTTATAACTAAATATATCATGCCAGTAACAATTGATTGAGCGTAAATTTATAAATACTGTGATTAACAAATTTAATATAAAATAATCTTTTATTACAACAATTATTTTACTTAATATACTAGAATTATAATAATAAAGGGAGAAGCATGCGTTAGCGATAATATTGTGATGGTGTAATAAAATATTTAATTACCTATATACTCAATTCAAATTACACGTGGGAAGCTAGGCAATGCATATTTGTATTTTGTAAGTTGACATGCAGTTATTTAATATAATTTTGTAATTTTATATCTTTGTTAATATGGCTTAATGATTGTTCTACATGGTTAGCATGTTTCTTTCTATCTTTGAGAGATGCCTAAAAGGTTAGTGTATATTTTGCCGTTGTTTCTTGTGACTCTAATGGCCGATTTTACCAACGTCACCTAAGTTTAAGGGATCCCCTAAGCATGGTTAGGAGGCTGTTAGGGGACAGTTTCTATTTCACCGACAGTTAGGGGTTACCTAAATGTTAAAATGCCACCATAATATAGGTACTAGAAATACGGGCTCTGGCGATGGTAAAACGAAATTTAATTTAGGGGCAAGTTTAGGGGAACTTTTAAGCTAGGGATCCTATAAGTAGGTGGTAGCTTATGGGATGTTAGTGAAATCGGGTATAAGTGATTTGGGTAGAAGCTGATTCCAGGCATCATAATTAAACTTCATATGAATTATGGAACAACGTAATAACGAAATAATATAATATCTATATTATAGTGATATATCTTTTATTCATGCAATTTTTTATAGGTACACACCTAAAATAAAAATTAGAAAATCACAATTTCTTTACGTTTTGGCATTTGTAAGCACAAGGCAGATATTTTTTGCTAATTATGACCAAATTAAAAATTAATTATATCTAAAATTATAAAAATAAGTATTGGAAGTTGGCATACAACCAAAAAAATAACTAACATACTTATTCATGTTTATCTATTTCAAAAGTTGGTATTTATCAACTCGATAAACAATATTATACAATAGAAGAATTTTAGACATAAGTAAACGGGTATGGAACGTACATATAAACATCTAAAGTGTTCACTTTATAGTTGTTAAAATATAAGTCTTCGACCATAACACTCAAATTAAAAAGAAAAACAGTGATGTGAATTAAATTATTTGAAGCAATCACTCGGTGGTGTAAAACAAAATATGCTCAAAAAAGAACAGTGCAAATACACCAATAAGTTGCTTACTGCCAGTATCAAATTTGAAAGTTTTTGCCTTTTTATCTGCGGTCCTCATTCTTATTAACTTCATGTGACTGCGGGGTACGCGTATAAATTCCTTTGCTGTTTAATTTTATAAGAAATTATTAAGAAATCAACTGTGAATAGGTTTGGTATTTTCAAAGGTAATTTTATACTTACTTTTTATTTTTAACCACGTGTAAATAGATGATTCGCCAGCATCATTGCTGGCTATGCATTGATATATGCCCATGTCTTCCATCTTCAAGCTGTTGATAACGAGCGATCTGTCTACTTCAACTCTGTATCTTCCTCCACCGTCATCTACATCGGCGTAATCAGTATCGTCGATATCAATCCCTACGCTTGCAATTTTTCTTGCATCTTTGTACCATGTTATTCCCGGTATAGGTATACCTTGGACGTTGCACTCTAAAACTATAGTGCTACCGAACTCACCGAACGTTTCGGATTTTAAATTAGATAACATTACCGGTTTTTCGAAAACTGTGACGGATGCTGATGCGGTAACAGTTGCAAATCCACCAGACTTTAATCTAGCCTGACATGAATATTGACCGGTGTGGTTCGAATTGGCGGATATGAGACTCAAAGTGCGGTTCCATTGATCATTTAAGTCGTAAGTGATTCCTGCTAAGTCAATTAATATGCCGTCTTTAAACCATAGGGTTTCGAGTTCATGGAGTGGTCTCGCGTTTGCTATGCAATACATATTCGTATACTCTTGGCCTTTTATTATTTTTGTATCTTGTGGTTTGATGATTATTTCTGGCGCTATTTCTTTACTATCATCTCCATACACTTTTAACCTAATGTATGGACTATTTTCTACTTTGCCTAACTGGGTGTTTATCGCCCGCGCTCTAGAAAAAGTGAAAATGAAGTTAAACATAAATATTTATATATAACGAGGGCAACCTATTACTACTAACTAATAAAATATTCACTTACCTATAAGCTCGTTGATCGTCTTGAGACGCGCACAGTATTACTAGCTCATGTTTATCAGTAATAGCATATTTTTGATCATATCTCAAAACACCATTTACTCCACTTTCATCTTGCCAAATCACAGACGGGGGTGGCTCAGATTCTATGTGCGGAAAGTCGAGAATAGCCGCTCTACCTGATTCAACCTCTACTACTTGTTCTATAGTGTTTTCAAAAACACCCATAACTGAAAGTATTAATAATAATTATATTTCATAATTAAATAATATAAAATTCATTATAAAAATCATAACTAATGCAAAATATGTAACTCACAAGCTACGATTATGTTATTCTTTTCACTAAAAATTGCCCCTACATCATTTCTTGCAATACATTGATAGGCACCAGCGTCTTGACGTTGCGTATTGTGAATTTTATAAAATAATTCCGAGGAATAATCCCCTAATGGAGCGCCATTTTTGAGCCATCTGTACATTGGTTGTGGAATACCTATGTGCATGAATTATTAAAAAATAGTTAATATTAATTTTAAAAATGTGTAAATAATTTCATATAAAAATTGCAAGCTAAGTACTAAACTTACCAATTGCTGAACACTGTAATATTTTAGTTGTGCCTTCCCTTACTACACTGTTTGATGAAGAAGGCTGCATTGTAAATCTAGGTGGCTGCATTTGATCTGTAAACAAAAAATCTATTTAAAAAGTTGTAGCCACATAAACTAACCAAAGTATAATGAAACTTATTGAATATATAATAGACTAGCATTGCACGCGACTCCGCCCGCGTTCAGATGACCAAAAACCAAATTCTTTGGGTTTATATATTAGTATACTGTTACATTGCAGTTTTTATATTTTTTCTCAGATATGAGACATTTTCCCGCGGTAAAAAGTATCCTATATGTTGACCCGGATAACCAGCTATCATCATACTAAATTTCATCAAAATCCCTCCAGTGGTTTTTCTGTGATGCGGTAACAGACAGACAGACAAACAAAAATTCTAAAAACTATAGATTCGGCCTCTGCATCGATAATAATGTTTATTGCAATAAGATTTTCCAAGAAATATTTAATGTACAGATTCAGCTTATTTTATTATATGTACCTGTAGATTGTACCTAGTGCAAATCGTAATCTAGACATTTTAGAGACAGCACAACTTATGTTAGTCATACAAAGCAGCTATAAACATGACTCATCAAAAAGCGTTAAAACTACGATCAATTGAACACAATTATTACGAACCTTCTTGTTAAGACCATGACCAAGCAGTGTGATTAATAAAAGAGTGCTGCTCATTGACCGAATTTATGTTTATAAAGCATTGTTTTTGTTTGTTCAATAGAGTTAATAGAGTTATGCTAAGTTAGGTAATATTCTGTAGTTTCAATATAATAATAATAATTGTATACCCCGCAATGTTTATGATCATACTAAAAATACTCAATAATAAAATTCTATCTAGAATATTATGGCTTTTAATAAAATTGATAAGCACTTCTTATAATGAAAAAAGGTGATCTACACAAGTTGGGTCATATTACCTTGTAGCAAATACAAAACATTCCACATTATCGGCTTTTTTCATTCTAATTGCATTAAAGCAAAATTGAATTATTCTCTAAGTTGTTTAGGCTGTTAGGATTCTAACAATATTTTATTATAAGTTATTTTTGTATCTATTAAAGCATATACGTACGGAAATAATTTGCCCATACATAGTTTTTATTAAATTATCAAATATAAGCTACTTATCCTCACTTCGCTCGGGTATGTTCTTAGGTATCTTTTTGCCACACATTAATATAGATCATATTTAAAACCATTTTTTTTTCGATTCTAATTTTAACACCTCCAGGTAAATTTCTAAGAAATTAGTTAAATTTCTAAGATATTAATTAAATCTCTAAGAAATCTATTGTCAACTGTAACGCCGGCGTGTCCGGCGGTCGTTGAGGGATTAAATTTATTATGATTCTAACAATAAACACATATTTATTGAAATAAAAAATAGCTTACATTAGTGAGAATTTCCAGAGTTAGGTCAGCAGCGGTTTCAGATATACAACAACATATACAACACTCTCACACAAACTTACACACTACCTCTTTTATAATTCTTAATTAATAATATTATTTATAATTCTTGTATAAAAAAAATTAAATATAAAAAATATAAATATTAAAAAAAACCTAGGTTGCCGCATTGTCGTTATAATATTTATTGAACACCTGGAACTCGAAAACACGACCCTATTTGTTTTCATCGCATCTACTTTCAAAGAAATATCAACCTATTTAGCTCCCAAGGGATGACCAGGATTTACCCAAAATCAGGCAATCCTTTACCTTGGATTCCGTAAGTAATCTGGTAATAAAATACAAAAGAGGTCCCATGGCAGTGGATCTTTATAGTGACAAACTTATATTGATAGCAAAATTAACTAATTTTTTTTTCTAAAACCCCAAGCTATAATCGTATATTTTACATGGCAATGGTTATGTCAGAATCAAACAAAAGAGCAAAGATGGAATAAATACGTAGGTAATTGCGGAAAGCAATTTTGTTTACTTTTTACATGCTATTGATCGACTTCGGTGTAACAGTTCATGTAGCGGCAGTCGACGTGTAGGGTAAGGTTGCTCAAGTCGTACCACGGCCTAACTCGTACCCCGGCAATATCTTGTCTAATAATTATAAATTACGCAATCTAGTGTCGCTAATTTGAACTACTTAGTCGAATGACCGAACATAAACAAGTGGACGACCAGCCGGCTTCGTGAAGTAAAAATATTGAAAAAGTAAGTTTTTTGCACAGTTTTCATTAAAATTATTGACTAATTTGTAAACTATTTATGACAGGAATGAGATCCTTATCTTTTTTCTTTTTTAACATGTGTTTGTGATACTTATCTGGTAATCGTTTCGAATACTCAAACAGTAGAACTTTTTTAGGTTATGTCATTACTTTTAGTTTTAAATTTAGAAAACACTGCTCCTTAAGTCGTACCTGTACAAAATCCCTTACTCGTACTGGTACGACTTACATATTAAGAAATTTGTTTAATATATAATTTACTTAATTTTTATCAGGTTACACCTAAAATGGCGAAGAGAAGGTACAATACTTGGAAGCAAGAGGATATGGACGAAGCTTAGAGAAACACAGTAATGGAGAAATTGTATTTAGTGAAGTTTTTAAAAGATTTAATATACCGAAGCCTACTCTGTTATGCCATTTAACGGGTTTGAATGAAAGAACAAAATTTGGTGCACAGCATTTGATGAATTTAGAGCCTTGTTTCTTCGGATTAACGGCCACTGAATTTAGGAAACTTGCGTTCGACCTTGCTGAGAAATTTCAACTACCTCATCGTTTTAACAAGGAGAAACTGCAGGCAAAAAGTGGTATTACAGGTTTATGAAAAACCACCCTACTTTGTCATTGCGTGTTCCAGAATCAACCTCAATGGCCAGAACTAAAAGATTTAATAAAGAGCGGAGTAATGAGTTTTTTGAAAAGTATGAAGAAATACTGGATAAATACAAGTTTGCTGCACACCAAATATACAATGTGGACGAAACTGCATTATCTACCCTTCACAAATCTTCCAAAGTTATTGCTCAAAAGGGAAAACACCAAATAGGTGCAAGTACAAGTGGAGAAAGGGGTCTTCATCAGGGATCAAGGGGTACAAGTGGAGGGGGGGACCACAACAGGCATATGTGCGCTGAATTCAGCAGGCGAATTTATACCACCCATGTTGATATTTAAGCGTAGCAGACTGAATGATGCCTTAAAAAAGGAGCCCCTCCAAACACAGCATTTGGTTGCTCGAAAAATGGATGGATAACATCAAAATTTTTTGGTTAATGGCTTCAATATTTTATTAAATGCACAATATTAGAAAAAAGTTATCAAAAACAGATATTGCTTTTACTAAATGGTCATAGCACCCATACCAAATTTATATATATTTGACATTTATACAAATTTGACTTCCAACTTAATAACCAAAATAATGTTTTAAGTTGATCTCAGACTAAATTGTTTGTAATTATTTAGTTGTTCATTGTGATCTGTGGTTATTACGCATATTTCTGTATAGTATTATGCGTTAAATAAAGTATATTTTCTAAGTACGACTTAGGCTATAGGTGGTACGAATTAGGCAACTAGGTGCCTTAATAGTACCGAAGGTATATTTTTGAAAAACGTTAAAATATCTATTTGGATAAAAGATTTTCCAATTTTTGTTATTCTTGATTAAAAGACAATTAAATAAATATTCAATACATGCAGAAGATTTTGTTTTATTTCAATTGTGCTGAATATAACAGAATTATTTCCTTAGGGGTTACGACTTAAGCAACCTTACCCTATTACCTATGTATGGTTACGCGATAGGAAGTGGCTTCTTTAATTTTATAAAAAAAACCATTGACGCAACTTCCTGTCGTAAGCCTTTAAGAACAATATAAAAAAGACTTTCGTCGTAAAAGTAATAAACGGAAGTTATAATTAATTAACTGTAAATACGTGCAAATTTTCTTATTGATGGAACTGGATCGATATTTAATTATTTTACAAGAAAAATTATCTATTTTGTATAACATATAATGCTCCAGAATGGATTTATGATTGTTGGCAATCAACTTTGATAGTAAGCGATAAGATAGTGTAGTACATCATCGCACCTTAAACGTGATTATATCTAACCTACATAGAACGTAGAAAACTTCTTGATTACATGAGTTATTTTCGGTAAACTTATATCAATGACCTATCTATTAGTTTGATTTTCACATACCTATGTGTTTATATATAAAAAAAAATATGTATTTGAATGATTAGAGTACAAATAAAATAATACGTCATTATATATAAATTCATTGTGTTATTATTATACTTATTTTCTGTTAATGTATTTTCTCTTAAACAATCTTATCTCTACATTGACTTAATGAGAAATTACGGTTAATTCTGACAGCACTACTGTTATTCTATACACGGGAAAAAATTATAATCCAAGGTAAAATACGAAAATCATATTTTATATCGAAAAATATTACAAATGATGATTTCATTTACTAATGTCATAATTCAGAAATTAATCATGATATCATTTTTAATATACTACACTAAATATATAGACCAATCGTAAGCCGTTTATTTTTAAGAGAAAAAAAAATACATTGACAACCTGAAATTTTATGATTTTAAAATGTTAGCAGCTATATAAGGAATAGAAATTCGTAAAATGCCCCCGATGCTCAGCTACCCCCGAGAAATGGGGGGACGCAAAGCGTTGAATAATATTTTTTTTTTCAATTTCTGATTTACTGTGACATCACACATCTTCAATGACAATTGAAAAAAATGTTGTTTACGAAGTAAAAATTATCGATTTCTCCAATTTTTGAAATTTTTAAGGGTGGTTTTTATAGGACGACCATACAATGTTTTTTTTTTCAAAAAGTAGACTTATAGACGAAAAGAATGAACCTTTCTGAAAATTTAACGATTTTTTTTTAAATGTAAACGTCCACTTGAAGTTGAGGGTGATTTTCAGCCTATCGAGACCATAAAACATACTTTTTTTTTATTTATAATATGTATTTCGAAAATTTCATTCCCTTATGAAAACCAAAAGATTATTCTAGAAAT